TAATTAAATTGGTTACATTTAAAGTGATACTATAGGCATAAAAAAAAAACAAAAAAAAAAAACTATCAAACTGCTTTATTATCATGCCCAGAGAAACAGCAAGTTTTACACTGGGAGACTGCCACTAGAGGCTGTTTTAACCCTGCAGACAGCACTTCCTGGCTTCTCATGGAGATTAACTCCATAAAACGATGTTGGACATTGTGACGAAAGCACCTTCATCACTGGGATTTGGAGAGGCCTGCTTGCCAGCCTCTTGCCCTATGACTATGGCCCCTGGGATGTATTGCCCTTTAAAAGCTTTATTTGGGCATATTGGATTTTAAAACACTTTTTCGAACCCTTTAAATCCATGGGAAAATGTGCCTCTTCCCCTCCCCCTTTTTCCTGTCCTATTGTTTCTCCAGCTGGGCGTTATCCCAGGGACACTGCCAGACCAGTTTAAACTAGCTGCTTTGTCCCTCCTCAATCTCTCATCAGCCCTTGTTATTTTCTGACCCCACCCTTCCTTGTCCTATAGGGCACTTTTAACATTGGACATATTGAGTGCTCAGATCCAAGCTATCTGGGGATATGTTCGACATATAGGTTAAACATTGTATTATAAGAGTTATGTATTTTTATGTGGTTTTTGTATCAGTTTCTGACTTAGAGATATTTTCTGTACCTGGAGATAATTAAATTACCACAGCCACATAAGCCAATTATCTCCAGGATAGAGGAGAAGATAGACCGGCCGCACAGCCTAAATCCGTGGAACTGTTTTGGGCATAAAAGCCATGCTTGCGGTCGGTCAAATGTGACTTCCATAAAACTTTTGAACCCCAGCTCTCATCTGGGTGATTTTTGGATATGTTGTTCACCCAGATCAGGGCTATCCAGGGATGTGTTATGTTTTGGGGGTGTTTTCAGGACTTTGGGGAAAATGTGTGTTTTTCTGCCTTTAGATAATAAGGTTATTGTATTAGCTGCTTTAATTATATCCCAGGCAGAGGGGAGGGCTTGTGTGCTGTATGTGGGAGTGTAGGACATTATTGCATTGTTTTGATTGGTTTGTGTCCTTAGTGTCCTGTGCTCCACGTGGGTGGTAACCTTGTGGGGAAAATGTGTATAAAAGAAATGACTTTGTGCTCATTAAACAGACTTGTTCTACCCTTCATGAAGTCTTGGCTCATGTTTGGGGGATTGGAGAACTACCTACACTCTGGGGATTGCTATAATCACTATACTCCACAGGGTACAATCACTAAGCTCTTGTAAGAGCTTGTTCCTGCTCTCTGGATTAAGAGGGGTCTACCTACTGGAAGCTGGATTCTGGTCTTGGGTCCAGAGTGGGTGGACGATGGCGAGACCCCAACCAAGCTGCAGCGGTTTGTGGGCTCTGCTGTGGTTATAGTGTCTAGTGGAGGGCTTGGAGGCCTCGGGAAGCACTAGGAGCATCCTTCAACGGAGGTACCCAGTCGGGGTGCCAGGCGATCCGTTACAGACATACTATAGTTTTAGGAATAAACGTTTGTATTCCTAACACTATAGTGTTCATTTAATTACCTCTTATGAAACAGTAAGCATATGTTCACATTTTAGAATACAATCAATGTAGTGTAATATTATACTTTTGTCTTTGACATGCATAGAATTATCACATCCATCTCCTTGGTACCTAAATGGAAGGTGATCAACAGGAAGTTAAAAGGGACTCAATCATGCAAAATAGGATTCCCAAATCCATTTTTAGTTACTGGATTATTGAGCTATTATACTAGTAAGATGTATGTGAGTGTGGATAGCCATCACAAGTGGTTTAAAATTAGTCCAGACCAAAATCTTGTTATCATATCAGTTCCCTAATACCAAACGTCAGGAGAGCACTGCTCTGCAATGCATTAACACAAACATGCAACCCCAGAAATATGACTTGGGAATGCAACACAAATAAATGTGTGTTTTGTTATTGTGATCATATACCTCTCCGGATCCTCCTACAGCTTCCTCTGCTGAGCCACACTGGCCACTTGCTCCATTTTGCAGCCGTTCAAGGAGTTCCAATAAAGCAAAGTTTTTCTTTAAGCCCCAAACACCAGAATCTCCTGCACATGACAAAATTTTGCAAAAAGGCGTAGATTAAAATATACATTAATAAAGAATAAAAAAATAAAAAAATAAAAAAATAGAAAAAAGAAAACCATCCTACCCACAGCTGAACTACAACTCTACTACAACTCTTAAAACCATAACACATAAAGCACAGCAGTAATTCTGAAGAGGAAACATTACAAGTTGGGAAGGAGAGAAAGAGTGTACTTAAGTAGCAAATATGTTAAACTAAATAAAAATAAAATAAAAATAATATTCAAAACTAGAAAAGCTACAATTTCTGGGAAAATTGTGTGAAGTGTTCTTGCCTCCACCAGTAGTCTACAACTGGAGTGGGCGGAGTAACTTATCATTTATATAGCACCTTTAATTGCAACGTTGTTGCACAGTTACATTAAACCATACATTTATAAAAACATTAGCAGGTGTTCAAAAGGCCCCGTCTATGTAATCACTTGCTGCTGCAGCTTGACACAGGTCAGAGTATTTTGGCGGTTGCCATCTTCAAACGGTCGTATTTTAAAAACTATAGATCCTACAGCAAAGCTTTATATTGTGAGAATCACAAGACCCAGACCTACATTTTGATGCATAGTATGTCTCTGAAGTATTAAAAATGAAGGCACAGTCGCAGTTTAGAAATTGCACTTCAAATTTGAGCTTTGTAGAGTGAAGTTTCAATGAATGTCAATGGACGGCGTTAGTTGCAAACAAATGATTATATTGTGAAAACTATCAGGACTATGGCTTAGCCGTTGACATGTTTAGTGGCAGCAGGGATAGCTGAACGTTTTGATATAAGATTTGTGTAGGTGGGCCTGAAAATAAGGGAGTGGTGGCAGTTTAGAAATCATGTCCTGATTTTTCAGCTTTTGCCAGCTCCCACTCTAGCTTTGCCATTCATTCCTATGGGACAAATTCGCCACAAGAACGACGATATTCCGTGAACCATTCGGCGAAACGTTCCACAAAGTAATAGCAATCCGATCGGGAACAATCTGCACGCTTTGGTAAATTTTTGTCTATGTAGTGTAAAAACTGTGGGAGGAGTTAGGGTGGCAAATTTGGCTATAATAAGAATAAGAATATATATGTGAGATAACATTAAGTGGTCTTGCTATGCAAGAACACTTAATAATAAAGACAATTTACAAGCGTTACAATATTATATAAATCACTGAACAAGAATTGTGAATGTGTCTATAATCTCACCTAGTTCAGTGCCTTGTCGATCAAACGGACAGCGTATTGCCCGGCCATGCAGTGGCAGGCGTGTCAAACAATCGTGACAGACTGTGTGGCCACACAAGAGTAAACGTGGAACTTTGTCACCTTGCAGGGAAAATACGTCTTCACACACTCCGCATTCCAGGACCTACAGTTTTTTTAAAAAGAACAAACATTCAGTAGCTTGTAGCGTCTCACAAGGGGAAAGTTTTCGGTTTTTGCAAATTTTAACAGAGAAAACAATTGGGTGTTATTTTTATACTGAAAGCAGACCCCAATGGATTACAGTAATACAAAGTCACATATGTACGAGCGCACTGAGAATTAAGACATAAAGGATCACTATAGGGTCAGGAACACAAACATGTATTCCTGACCCTATAGTGTTAACACCACGCCTCCATAAATATAGTAAAAAGCTTACTGTATTCAAGCCAGAAGCTGTAAATCTGCATGCTGTTAGACTCAGAAAAACAAGCAGTCTGCTGACATGTGGTAGCCTGATCCAATCACAGTGCTTCCCCATAAGATTGGCTGAGACTGACAAAGAGGCAGATCAGGGGCAGAGCCAGCATGATTCAAACACAGCCCTGGCCAATCAGCATCTCCTCAGAGATGAATTGAATCAATTAATCTCTATGAGGAAAGTTCAGTGTGTGCATGAAGAGGGAGGAGATACTGAATCACATGATGCTGTGCACAGTGCTGCCCTGTGCTCTGCTGACAGCAGATCTGAGTGGATGGAGGCATATTATGCCTCTATCAACTCCGAAGTCCCTCTGAGTGACTGCAACTGGAGGTGGTCCTAGCTTTCAATGTAAACACTGTATAGTTCTCACCTGAACAGCCTCATTAAGCTGAAGTTGTTCAGGTGACTATAGTGTCCCTTTAAATCATAAGGTGGTTTTCCGGTTTCTGTCTTAGAGAATGATGTTCCCAGCTGTGGTTATGTCTTACGGTACAGAGTTAGGGGGCTGGGAGATCCTAAAAAACACCTCAGTATGCTAAAGTGTTTGGCAGGGTCATCTTTCTATACAAGAAACAGAATTCCTCATAAAAGTATATAAAAAGTTTGGCTTTAAAGACAATTGTCAATTCTCTGGAATTTGCAATACAGAATAAACCATTGAAAATCACTTATAACTTGCCTTAACCTTATTTTCATATACTCCGTTTTCTTTTAAAATTATATTTACGATTTTACATATTGCAAGAGAATCCAATGCAGACAAGGAAAAGTCAGGTCAAATATTGCAATTGAAGATGAGAGAAGGAAGCATGGTTTCATTTATCTGCTTCTTTGTATGTTTTCTCTACGCTGGCCGACAGGTGCAAATGACAAAGATTATAACACTGACTGACGGGGGACTAAGAAGCACCCTGCTGCAGGATGAACAGGTGATGTCTACATGTAAATTTTATTGTTCACGCCTCACAAATACAGAGATAAGCAAACTTAATATTTAAAATATCCCTTTAGTTAACACTTATTCGTGTATTTTGGGATAGAAGGTCATGAAATATTGGCCCACTCCTCAACCCCACAAAATGTAATGACTTAGGTCAGGGCTTAACAAATGATGCCAGAGTCGGAGTGACATCATATTCCAGCTTCTGGCATCACTGCTGGGTGTGCAAGGGAGCAGAGCAAGGTGATTACAGTTCACTCTCTTGCTCCACTCTCCCTGAGCCACCCATCCGCCCTCCTGCCATCTCTTTCAATGAGCCGACAGCTCGCCTGCCTCCACTCTCCTTGAGCTAGCCACCCAAGTCCTAGTCCAGTATCGGAAAGTGTGCAGAACTAGCATTTAACATCTCCACGCTCTGCATGGAGACACTGAATGCAATAGATCTGTATAAGGAGATGCTGATTGGGGCAGCGCAATGTTTTGCTACGCACATGCAGTAGCCTAGCAATGCTTTCCATGGAGGCAGGGCCAGTTGCAGTAAGACTGGCACAGGATAAAAAGTGAATAGTACTGCACACAGGGGGTCCTGTCACCCAAACAGCCATCCCAGCACTATAGTGTTAGCAATACATGTATATTACATACACGTATACATCTTCTATTTCCTTCCATTATAAACCTGCTAGATACATTGATAACGTTAAATGTTATCGGTTTGCTACAGTCACCAATACTATAAACATTAAATTAGAAAAACAAAATACAGAAGGTGATTTTTTTTTGTCTTCTGTACATTTTTAATTTCTTTATTACGTTTATACACAAAAGTATACACAAACATCCATAAAGACATTAAATAAAAAAGAAACAAATAAACATACTTATTTTACAAAACACTTGGACAAGTGGGCAGCAAGTAAAAATAAAAACACACCACTTTTTTAAATTTTGCTTACACCAGGGATAGTTTATTGATCCATCCTTCTACATCGAACTTTACTTTGAGTACATTTTTATTTAGTACTTTTCAAATTTAGCTGAAAGTTGAGTTGCGCCTTGACTAAACTCCAATTTGGTAGAGTCTCCACATTCTAGAATCTAGATATTGTCATTTTGGCTGCTACATCCCTTTTATTTGACAATTTTTAAGAATTCAGTTTATAACTAAACTGCCCGAGCTTGCTTGAGCTTTATTATGAATTAGTTTCTTGCATTGACCCAAATAGCATATATATCGTTCCAATCAGTAAAACTGTTCTATAGCATACCACCTTTCTTGTTTGGACAAACCCATTTGGGAAATAATGCTGTGAAAGAGGAAACTAGCTTTATAATATTGCTGAATTAGTGGGAAACCAAGTCCACCCTGATTCTTATTTATAGATAAATATTTTCTTACCATATAAATTTCGAAAAAAGGCATGCTGGATCATGGTTAGCCAGCTGTTACAGAAAGGGATCATTCTAAACATACAGTCAATTTGGTAAAATGTAAGATTTAATCATTTTGATTTGTTTTCTTCTTTTACCCAACAGTTCCCTTTAAATAATATACACTAAAAAGACATCCACTTACATGCACAGACATGAAAGTTATGTATAGAAAAATGTAACACATGGCTATATTCTTCTAGAAAAATACCAAAAAAAAATTCAATTAATTTTTTTTCATATGAATTGCAGTCTTTGTCCCATCATACCTAGACTACAGTAATCCACAATATAATTATCATCATTTAGGAACACAGTGCCAACATTTTCTACAGCGCAGGAAAATGGATGGACAAAACATACACATTCTATTTGCAAGAATGAGGTGGTGACGGCCCTGGTAAAGAACCAGTTACCCCATCAGTGGACAGTGATACAGAAACCTAGTAACCAAATAGATACAATTGTCAGTACACTTGTTTATTTGTTCTCTGCAATGGTTGCCTGTAAAATAGGAAATGGCTTTCTGACATTAACACAACAGGAGCACTGTCAACATGGCAGGGAAAAAACAAAGGAAGAAATTCCAAGTTCTACATATAAGTGCACTACCAGTCCACTGAAATTGGCACTTTCCCTTCGTAATGGAGTTTAAATCTGTTTTGGAAACAGATTATTATTATCCATGGTTCTGCATTTGCATTAGTGTCTACAGTGCCACACTGCTCCTTTAGCCTACTAACATAAATATCCACAAACAAAAGCACTCACTGGTCCTGTTAATCAAAGAAGTGTGTCTTTTATTACCACGATTAAATAACAACGTTTCAGTCCGTGCCCGGACTTTCATCAGGATTATTAATATATTATTTTTACCAAACTAGCTTTAGTATTCATATTATACCAAATACTTTGCAAAGAGTATTTAATTCCAACAGCCAAAACCAATCAGAATCTGTAATTTCCTGATACGTTTCCAGCACTCCACTGTCAAAGGAAGATGGAAGGTTTCTTTGTACTCATGTCACTGTGCTTCCAACAGGAAGAAAACCTAATAGACACATATGTATTGTATTTAAAAAGGACACTATAGGCACCCAGACCACTTCAGCTTATTTAAGTAGTCTGGGTGAAGTGCCCCATCAGATTAAAGAGAAACTATAGTGCAATGAAAACAAAGCTGTTTTCCTGGCACTATAGCTCATAATAAAAAAATAAATTGGAGAAAAAAAAAAAATATACCACTTTTAATTAGTTCGAACTGTATTTGAAATTAATATACATATAAAATTCAAAATACATTTAGAATGACATTATAAATACAAATAACCCAAGTAGGTTAATCTCCTAAGAGATGCTTGGAACACAGTTGTATTCTGCAAACACAGATTAAAAGGAATCCATGTTTAAAATGGAATGAGGCAAAAATGTGATTCTTTGTTAAACTAATTTGCATATGCCCACCCAGAATCCTTTGCGGTTGTAACATCACTGCCGATTTGGGATTTCTGTGGGGACAGCAAGTTTTATGGCTTGACTGGTGTGCAGATTTTTGTTTAACATTGTATTAACTATCCACAGACTTCAGGTGGAAGGGGTTTTCAATCACAATTTTTCCCCACCATAATATATAAATAAATATGAGAGAGAGCGATAGCGATTTTTAATATAATATTCATTCAATGTCAGTTGCCACTGCTCTGACCATTTTTCTAGTTTACCTAAATCATTTGCCATTTGGCTTATCCCTCCTGGAAAATTAACCCCTTTTACATCCCTGTACAGATCCCTGAGGTACCCCACTGGTGACTATATATAGGAAACCTGTTTTGTAAAGTCTGAAGATTAAACACACATGTTGCCTAGAACTGAAGGTCTCCATCTTGGCTCCCTGTCAATCATAAATGTTGCACTTTTGTTGAATATGGTATGTGGAAAACAAGAATGTGAAACAATGTTTTTGGACTTAACTGGATTGTGATGTCACATGCTAAAAACTTTGTTTTAAAAGAACTTGGTGTTAAATTAAAAGAATGTTAACACAATTTATAGACGATCTCTGCTTGTTAGGAGACCTGAAGTTTTCAAGCAAACAATTTAGCAAAATACTGCAGAATGTCTCTTGAAATTGCTTTGAAAATAAATTATCACACCATTGCTTATTAACAGAACAGCACAGGTTGCAAAACTGCATAATTTATTATACAGATACTCAGTAATTCACTGTATCGTGCAATTCCAACAAACCAAATAATAAAGTCTGTTAAAAAAAAAAAAGTTAATAAAAAGCACAACTGCTTCGTGTTTACAGCAGACTGTTCAAAGCAATGGCCAAGAGTGATAAGGTCTGGCACCTAATGCAATGCCCATGCAATGTTTACTTTTTCATGATAATACACATATAAAAGTGAAACAGAGAGCACAGAATAAGATTATTTTTTAATATGTGCAGTACTTCATTAACAAAAAATGTAGAATGTCAGCGTCCATGTCCCAAATATGCATTAAAATCTCAAGATCAATATTAATAATAAGAATAGAGAAATAGTACATCACATGTCTCCTAGCTGGATAATGGGAGATCATCATAGCCACCAGTCTGCAAGGTGTAATCTTATAACTAATAATGCAGTAGAGCCAGTAACAATGCAGTAAGGCCAATAATGTAGTAGGGCTAGTAACACTGCAGTAGGGCCAATGATGTGGTAGGGCTAGTAACATTGCAGTACGGCCAATGATGTGGTAGGGCTAGTAACAATGCAGCAGGGCCAATGATGTGGTAGGGCTAGTAACACTGCAGTATGGCCAATGATGTGGTAGGGCTAGTAACACTGCAGTAGGGCACATGCCACCTTGCCATAATATGACTAGGAATGATGTGAAATCGCACAAAGCTCCAGGAAAGTTACATGCATCAATATGTGGCAGTGTAGTAATAGCTGTAGATGGTTATTCGTCCAGTATCAGACCCCACCAGCTCAGTCCATGGACAGACATTGTTTAATGCCCAGTATCAGACCCCATGGACAGACATTGTTTAATGCCCAGTATCAGACCCCAGCACCTCAGTCCATGGACAGGCATTTTTTAATGTATCAGACCCCAGCAGCTCAGTCCATGGACAGACATTGTTTAATGCCCAGTATCAGACCCCAGCAGCTCAGTCCATGGACAGACATTGTTTAATGCCCAGTATTAGACCCCATGGACAGACATTGTTTAATGTCCAGTATCAGACCCCATAGACAGACATTGTTTAATGTCCTGTATCAGACCCCATGGACAGACACTGTTTAATGCCCAGTATCAGACCCCAGGGACAGACATTGTTTAATGCCCAGTATCAGACCCCAGGGACAGACATTGTTTAATGCCCAGTATCAGACCCCATAGACAGACATTGTTTAATGCCCAGTAACAGACCCCATGGACAGACATTGTTTAATGCCCAGTATCAGACCCCATGGACAGACACATGCCCTGGGATGTGATGCCTGCAGGGGGTCCAGGCCCCATACAAGCGGCCTCTGACCGATTAGGGTTATATTCCCCCAATAACACCTCCTCTAGCTCGCAGTCTCACCTTCACGGCTCCCCCCGGCCCTGTACGGCTCTGCCGCCCTACACCCTCCATCCTGGCCGCGGCACCGTGCCTGTTTACAGCAGCAGCTGATGCGACAGCCATGTTGACAGGCAGGCCATACCAACACCGACTGGGGGGGTCAGAGCGCTGTGAGCAGAGACCAGGACCACATCCGTGTAAAATACCATGACATAAAGGGCGGCTGCAGGCGGAACACGAAGAAATAGCACTAACGGTATAGCCAAAGTTCGTATCTACACCTTACTCGGGGAGAGGGAAGCGTTAGATGTTTTACTAGTAACACGTCCATATTATTGGTATCGTCCAAAGCCCTGCAGCAACAATGAACTCAACCTATGCCACAGATAGGTGAGAACAGCTGTCTTACGTCGGCCAGAGTAGGCGCCATATTTAATGTGGGCAAATAGCTGCTCTACTGCTCTTATTAATTTTTAAAGGGATTCTATAGTCCCAGACCACTTTATCTCAAGGAATTTGTCCAGGTGCAGTGGGTCTGTACTTTTAACTCTGCAATGTAAAACATTGTAGTTGTTTAGAAAACTGCAGTGTGTTTACATAGCAAGGTTAAATCTACCTCTAGTGACTGTCTTACTATAGATGCTATAGTACAAGCATGTCAAACTCAAAGTCTAGAACAAGGTTTATAGAAACTTAGCTTTATTTTTAAAATTACAGTATAAAAAATCCCAGTCCCCCCACCCTTGTACTAAATCCCAGTCCTCCCCAATACTAAATCCCAGTCTCCCACCTCTACTAAATCCCAGCACCCCCCTCTAGCCAACTTGCAAACTCCACTCACATTGCCGCTGCCAGTATGCGACTCCGGAGTCCACACCCTGTGCCAAAGCAGATCCTTCCGCTACTCCTTGAAAACCTGTGAAGGTGTAGCATGTCAACATCACGTCGGAATGTGACGTGGCATTGCGTGCCTCCGTGCACCTCCAGGTACTCCACTGTCTAGCTGATAGCCCCGATCTGGGAGACCAACATATTTAAATTTCACCCAGGGGTTCTCAAAAATTCTCAAAAATTGTGGAAGTCTTAAGTTACCGACCGCACACGAGGCTCCTGCCCAAAACAGTTCCACAAATTCAGTGTGTGCGGTCGGTCAATTCAGAAAAATCAAATTGCTCCCCTTGTTCGTATGACTCAAACTACCGAATGGCGCTTTCCTAACTGTTCGGCAACAAAAGGAAGCAGGCGTTCGTATGTTTCAGCGGTGGTTCAGGACGTCGAGTGTCCGATTTTAGTTCCAGACACTCGACGACCAAGTCCCGCTGCCTCCTTTCGTGCAAACAAGATGGCCGCCGTTTTTTTTTGTTCCACATGGAATTCGGCTATATGAACGGCGGCCGCCCAGAGAGCGCTTAATTAGATGGTTCTTTTGAAGTTAATAAGCCAGGAGGGTGGTCGGTGTTCGGTAGTTTTAAACTACCGAACCAATAAATCCAAAATAAACGAAATCTTGCAGAAAGTCACGAATACAGAAGAAAATATCGAAAATAGGTCTACTTTCTTCACAATTATGTATGTGAATTTGTGTAACTGGCTGCCTAAAGCGGCACTGTCACTATCTGGGGACTTTGCTGAATTTGCAAACATCACCGTTGGGGGTCCATTGGCTTGAGGGGCAGGACAGTCAAAGGTGAGTTCTACTTACCTGAACCTGTCCCTCGCCGGCGCTGCCATCTTCTGCCAGAGGGTTCTCTTCAACATGCAGGAAAGTACAGAATTGAAATCTATGTAGGATCCCAGATGACCGCACATTCCTCCATAGATTAATCCAATTCCCTGCAGCTGTCACTGGTGATGTGAATGTGTTTTTTCAGTGAAATTCCAGCACAGTCAGTATGAGTATTTCATAAAGAGTCTATTTATATGAAATACCCATTTGTCAGAGGTAGAGGGGTGACAGTGCTGCTTTAACACCTGAGCTATACTGCATATTTATAGGCTTGGTCCATGACATCATAAAGAGAGCATAACGTCGCTGAAGTTGGGTGTGGCTAGTGGAAAACCAATTATGTGATCCAGACAGAACCAGTTAACATGTAAAATGTTTGTTTTATAGTGAATATAATATATTTTCAGAATATAAGACACACCCACATATTTTAACAACCAGTTGAATGATTTATCCCCTTTAGTTCATCTTATCTCTTATTTAGTGTCTTGCAACCCCCTTTTGGGTCTTGCGTTTCCCCCCTTGTGCTCTTGCTGTCTCTCTCTTGTGTCTCCAACTGTCCCCCCACCTTGTGTCTCTTGTTGTTCCCCCCTTGTGGCTCTTGAAACCCCCTTTGTTGCTCTTACCTGACTTTGACTACAGCTGAATTGGAAAATGATTCCAAATCAGCACTTTTATCTACATTTTGTGATTAAGAGAGAGGGAGAGAGAGTCGAGTATATACTGCTGAGGTTGTGCTGGATATTTTATAGGCTTGGTTTATGACATCATAAAGAGAGCAAGAAATCGTGAAGATAACCAATGATTAGAGTCAGACGCAGCCAGTTTAAATACAAGTGTTAAAGAGTGATATTTTTAAAGCATAGGGATGCTTTACAGGGAATAAACATTAACTTTTATTTGTTATATCACATAGCCATCAAATGCATCCATGTTTAGTGATTTGCTATCATTGAACAGCTTATTGTAGTGAAGTGAATATAAAAAGCAACATCTAGGTGACAATTTCCAAGCTTTAACAAGAGCTGAAAGGGAGAATGTCTCTAGTTCTGCATTTTGGTGATTTGGAGTGGTTATGGTACTTCGAGTCTGTTCGTGCAGTGTTTCAGTTTAAAACTTAACTCCCAGGCTAGCAATGTCAATTCTGTGTGTACTTGGTGTATCTGTGGGCAGCACACATAGCATGCTGGTGTCAGAAGACCAATGGTGTCCTCTCCCTACGTGCTGCCCAAGTTCTACCCTTAGCCTGTTCTCCTTTACATCCCTACACCTGCAATGACCAGGAGTGACATCACCGGCAGAGGATTGGGCTGAAAGAGCACCTGGCCTCAGTGCAGGTTAGAAAGGTGGGTTCTTTTTTATTTTTTCTGGTCTCGGAACACTGCAGAGAGACAGACTCACAGAGTTATTCACTAAAGAGTAAATGCAAAGTGAGTTTCAACGGTACAGTTAAAGTAGATGAACTGAAAGCATTCCTGACCGACAGAATTCTTTCCAGTTTGGTTAGTTCGAATTTAAATATGAAATCTCACATTAGTGACTAACCCTAATTATGTTATGGAGGAAAAATAGAAGGGGTCATGCATGTAGTACCCAGATGACTGTGGGTTTTCAAACATCCAAAAGAATGGATCTTTTTTTGTGTCATTCTTTTTTTTTGCCGTGCATGGAGGTACAAACAGGAGTGTAGTGCCACAATAGTGACTGCATGTACTTCAAGTAACAACATAGCATAACATGAATATGGCAGAGTTGGGACATGCACGTTTTTATTTTAAAAAAAACCTTACAAAATGATATCTTAGACCATCTAAGCACAGGATTATGCTAATACTATCACATGTATTAGTATATAAAATGAGTGGTGAAATATATGTGTAAATACATCAAAGTAAACATACTGACAATATGTGAGGAAAATAAACTATGCTATGTGGCGGACTGCCTGGTATCCCGGTTGGGTACCTAGCTGAAACCGGGACACCCATAGCGCTTAATCCCCCAGTCGCCACAGCTTGACTGGGGGTCTGTCCGGAGTTTCCCACTCTGGAACAGTGTCCTGTGTTACAGCTCCAAGTGATCAAGCTCTTCTGCAGAGTGAATAGCTGTATAGCTGTCTCTCCTAAACACTAGCCGAGGCTTAGTGAAGGGTGAAGTAGAACTGGTTTTATTGAGTGAACAACGGGTTTATATAGGAGTAATCACAAAATAGGGTCATTAAACAAAACAATACAGGTCACTCCTTGGAGTCTTGGTGTCTAGGACAGAATTAGGCCCATAGTCCATAACTGAATTACCTGCCTGACACCAAGATCCATAGCACAATAGCTATTGTACAATAAACTAATTATCTTCCCTTCTGTTTTACTTTTTATACACAGGGACATGCTAACACAATTATCTCCCATAGAACAAGAAGACTCCTAGACTCTGTGTATGTGTCAGTATATCTGTATGTGTGTGTGTGTGTGTGTGTGTGTCAATATGTCTGTGTATGTGTGTCAATATGTCTGTCACTGTGTGTGTGTCAGTATGTTTGTCAGTGTGTGTGTCAATATGTCTGTCAGTATGTGTTTGTGTCAGTATATCTGTCAGTGTGCATCAGTATGTCTGTGTGCGTGTGTGTGTGTCAGTTTGTCTATCTCTATATGTGCCAGTATATCTGGGTATATGTGTAAGTATGTATATATGTGTGTGTATCTGTATGAAGTCTGTGTGTGCATCTGTAGGTGTATCTATATGTGTGTCTGTGTATTTGCAAGTGTGTCAGGTTGTGTATCTGTTTGTCATTGTGTATATGTGTCTGTATATCTACATGTGTGCCAGTGTGTATATCTGTGTGTATGCATGTGTTTCCATGTGTATATATCTGTGTGTGAGTATATGTGCATACATCTCAACATTCACACACTAACACTACACACAAATACAGCCCCGCATTTAAACTTCAACACTACATACAAACACACGTCTGTGTTACACATCAAACTTATATGTAAATACACCCCTGCATTCAAAAACCAACACTACACATGAATACATGCTTGCAGTCATGCCAACACCACATACAAAAATATTCTATATAAAAAAGCTGTTTACATTCAAACACACAAAAACAGTTTAGTGCTAAATACAAACCTACAAACATGGGAAAATGGTAGAACCCCAGCTGTCAATGCATTTCTAGAGTTGCACAACAGTTGGGGATCTACCTTTTAATCACCCATGCAATAGGGAGGCCACAAAAAATTCTTGCACCTCTATATTTTAGGTCCGCCACTGCGTTGGGGTGGAGGATGTGATTGCACACCTGGGGAGGGGGGACAGGGTCCAGGGTCCAGTCAATATTAAAGATGGCCCTGTCTCCATGTCCCCTATCATTCCTGTCCCCCTCCCCTCCATATCCCCTTGTTCTTCTCTCCATGTCCCCCTCTCTCTCTTCCTCCTTCCCCAAACGACGGGCAGCCTGTCAGTCACAGAGCCGGCTCCCTGGATGAAGGTAGCGCTGGCTCTGCTCAGTTACAATTAGAGGCCCTTCCTGCTGTTTTACCTGTCCAGGCAGGGGCCTCTCCATGTCCAGCGGTGCACTATGCCTCCTTCACACTGAGGCCGAGTAGTCACGTGACACCCGGTGCTCCTACAAACCAGTGCCTTAAGCAAGTCTGAGTTTTAAAAGTTCCCTGCAGCAAACCAGGACATTGCTCAGATAATCTCCAGCTGAACCAGTGCCTTAAGCAAGTCTGAGTTCTAAAAGTTCCCTGCAGCAAACCAGGATATTGCTCATATCATCTCCAGCTGAACCAGTGCCTTAAGCAAGTCTGAGTTTTAAAAGTTCCCTACAGCAAACCAGGACATTGCTCAGAAATCTACAATCAGAGAAGAGATTGCTAATTTTTCTCCTTCCCCTACCAATACATCACCCAACCCCACTCCCTCCACCATTCTACACTCATTCGCACCTGCTACAGCAGAAGAGGTTTCTGCTCTGCTCCAGTCCTCCCGCCCCATCACCTGTTCCCTCGATCCTATTCCCTCATATCTCATCATCACTCTGTCTCCCTCTCTTGCTCTTCCTCTCACTAAAATCTTCAATCTCTCCCTTTCCTCTGGTACATTTCCCTCACCCTTCAAACATGCAACTGTAACCCCGATTCTGAAAAAGCCCAGCCTTGACCCCCAACTCCCCATCCAACTACCGCCCTATCTCGCTACTGCCATTAGCCTCCAAGATCCTCGAGAGAGTTGTGTACACCCGACTTACTGACTTTTTTTAATCCAACTCTCTGCTTGACCCCCTTCAGTCTGGATTCCGCACTGGTCATTCTGTTGAAACGGCTGTGACCAAAGTATCCAATGATTTAATTGCTGCTAAATCTCGCGGCCATTACTCTATCCTAATTCTCCTTGATCTTTCTGCTGCCTTTGACACTGTTGATCATCAACAGCTTCTTCGCATTCTCCGTAATTTTGGTCTACGGGATATTGCTCTCTCCTGGTGCTCCTCCTACCTCTCCCAGCGCTCTTTCAGTGTTTCGTTCTCTGACTCTGCCTCTTCCCCACAACCACTCTCTGTCGGCGCCCCCCAAGGTTCTGTCCTTGGTCCCCTACTGTTCTCTATCTATACTTCCTCCCTTGGTAAACTCATCAACTCCTTTGGCTTTCGTTATCATTTCTATACGGATGACACGCAAATCCACCTGTCCTCTCCTGATCGCTCTCCGCCCATCTTGATTCGTATCTCTGACTGCCTCTCTTCGATTTCCAACTGGATGGCTGCTCACTTCCTTAAACTCAACCTGTCCAAAACAGAACTTCTGGTCTTTCCTCCCTCAAGTGTTACTATTCCCGTGTCTGTCTCCCTCCAAATCAACGGCGCTACCATCACCTCTACCTCAAAGGCTCGCTGCCTGGGTGTTCTTTTTGACTCCAACCTTTCCTTCACCCCTCATGTCCAATCAATCGCCAAATCCTGTTGCTTCCATCTCAAAAACATAGCACGCATTCGCCCCATATTTAACCTCAGATGTGGCTAAGGTGCTGGCCCATGCTCTTGTTCTCTCTCGCCTGAACTACTGCAATACCCTTCTCAGTGGTCATACGTGTTCTCAGATTGCACCTCTGCAATCTATAATGAATGCGGCGGCGAGGCTCATTTTCCTGTCCGCTCGCACCTCCCACACCTCCCCGCTCTGGCAGTCCCTGCATTGGCTTCCAGTTAGGGCTCAATTTAAAATTCTGGTGCTTGCTTACAAGTCCCTACATAATGCTGCTACAACCTACCTATCCTCCCTAATATGCAAGTATGTCCCGTTGAGGCCCCTACACTCTGCCAAAGACCTATGTATATCCTCTGTCCGTACGCCCACCTCTAATGCTCGCCTCCAAGATTTCTCCACCTTTTTTTTTCTGCACCTCTCCTGTGGAACTCCCTTCCCTTCTCCGTAAGACTTTCACCCAGTCTCCACTCATTCAAAAAATAGTTGAAAACTAATTTCTTCAAGAAAGCATATCAATTAAACTGGTTTTATCCCCCATGACTCTTCTCCTGCAATTGTCAAAAGTTACCTACTAAGCCCTCAATGAATACTTTTCTAACAACCTACTTCATACCCCTACTTTTACCCTTTGTGTCACTATACCTCACTCCCTCTAGAATGTAAGCTCATTGAGCAGGGCCCTCCACTTCTCTGTTCCTGTCTAGTATTTGTATCTACTACGAACCCTTTCATAGACTTTCTCGTCTTTGCCTGAGAATAACCATTCACATACTTTACAATGAGTAGTATTATAAAAAAACAATATTCAAATTAGCTGTGATTTCAACTTGGCAACTTTGACCTAACATTTCAAATGTCCTTGTCAATTTGACATATTTTACCATTTAGTGAATATTCAACTGAAACAGTTTATCTCTAAATCACTCTGAATGATGTATTAGGAAGTAGGTACATTTAGTCAATTATAAACTAATGAAGACCTGAGCTGTCCTGTGTATTTATAGGCTTGGTCCATTACATCATAAAGAGAGAGTGATATCACTGAAGTTGGTTGTGGCTAGTGAAACCTGTAATATATGGACAGATAGAGCCAGATAACATGTATGGGGATGATTTATGAAGGCAAACCAGGTGCTTTTTTGGTTGCAAACATGTTAAAACCTGAAAGTCAATTCTATTTCTATAGGTTTTCAAGGCGATTGTTCTTTATTTAGCACTTTGTCTCAAAATAGTATCTATTTTTGCCTTGATAAATCTTCCCATGGCGTTAAAGAGAGCAAAGTGGTACTTTCAGAGAATAAACGTTCTCAATCATTTTGTTTAATCAGATTGCCAGCAAATATATACAAACATAATGGCTGCAATAGTTATTCTGGATTTTCACTAAACAGTGCTTTATTATTATTATTATTGGCATTTATATAGTTCCAACTTATTCCACAGCGCTTAACAATAAATCAGCAAAGAAATCAATTACAAACTGTTAGAAGAACAATAGGTGGACGAGGACCCTGCTCCAACAAGTTTATAAGTATAGGTAGTGAAATAAAATATGAATAGCAATATTTTAAAATCTAAGCTTTTCATATAGCTTATTGAACAATGTTTCCAACGAAGCACCTTTACCCTAAATTATGTGATTTTAGTTTTCTAGACACAACAATGTGTTTCATGAATAAACTCCAGAGACCAAAATACAGTGAGGGGGAGACTGTACCAGTCTAGATGGGGCAAACAGAAACAGACCAAATATTAGGGAGGCCTGTCAAATATCTGCCAAGTGTCCCTCTTTAGGAGGAACAGCCCCTATTTTGTTCACAAATCTGTCTTTTTCTAGGAGCTCTATATTTTTTTACGAATTAGATTTTTATTGGTTGTAAAGTAAAGCATTAGATGTGATATTCATGGACACGCAGGTAGGAGCTCTATATTTATGGTGTGTCTGAATGTATACCAGAGCACCACAGCAACAATACAGTAAGGTGTCACAGTTAACTGAGGCTATAAATTCAATTTTATTTGCAGTAATTATTAGTAAGTAACCTAAAATGTTTCCAAACAGCCCTACCCCTGGCCACCCCCACCCCTAAAATTAAAGTGTTAATGTCTGTCCATTTTTAATGTTGGGAAGTATATAAAGGTGACTGTGATATTTCAGACATCCAAAAGCATGTCTCTTCCCACAACCACTGGCTGTGCAGTCTATGAAAACCATGGATACATTTATCCACTATGTTTGCACTGTCCTTTTCACACCTCAGCCAGTAACACCCTACCCAGTAAACATGCACTCAGTGAGCCTGAGCAGCATCACGTGACAGGGCCCGCGCGCAGGCGCAGTGAGTGACAACGTCTAGCGGCTAGGTCGCGTAGTGCGCATGCGCGAGCCCATAGTGGCGGTTTGGTCCGTTCGCCGTTCCGTAGAAGCAGATTTGCAGTGCAGCCTGGCACCATGGACGCCAATCAGCCCAAGCAGGAGCATCTGCTGGCCCTGAAAGGTACAGACTGCGGGCAGTGGTGATCGGTCAGGGCGGGGGAGCCGGTGTCTGTGCCTCTACATACACTGTTACCGTGTGTCTAGGAGTCACTTCCGCACTGTCCCAGGCAGGGCTCCGGGGATAACCCCCCAATGCGGCCACACCGTGAGCTCCTATACTATAATAACCGGGGGGGGTGTAACTGGACTAGTATAACCTAGTGTTATTATTGATTGGGTTACAGTCACTACTCAACCAAACTTCTGGAATAAAAGGGAATCATGACATGTCATGTGTCCTTAAGGGGATAAACAGAAACTTTCATTATTTATCACATCATTCTTTTAGTAAATAGGGCTTTCCAAGTCTGTTTACACTCTTTAGGGGCCCAGGCATTACTTATATTGTAGTAATGGCTGAGCCAGGGGTGGCCAGAAGGTAACTCTCCCACCTATTGCACTAACTATCCTGGGATGCTCTGACAGCCATAATACTGTTATAACCTCACTTACTGCTACCCATGACTTCACCCAATAACCATGCTAAGAGTTGATACATAATAATAGACAAATTTAACAGCCATGTAAATAAGTGTATGTTTTTATATATGTAACCACACATTTCCAGTTTGACATCTTTCTACTAGTAGGGCTGTGAAGTAATCGGTGTAAATGTGATATTGGTATTTATACTCCGCTATAAGCTCTGAATTGATTGGATTTCATTAGGAAATTGTAAATTTAAGGTAAAAAAATCGGAAGTAGAGCTTACTTGGAGTAGGTTTCCTGTTAGAATGTTTTAGGTTAAAATTTGCAATTTTCTGAGCTGCTGACAATTCCCAGTTAAATGAAAAATGAAAACCCCTCTCTTTTTCATTAGTGATAGACATGAATAAAACTACTAAAGGTTTCTGTAATTTTTCATTGGTAACGTCATGTGTGTCTAGCTAAAATAAAAGGAATAGCAGCCATTTCTTTGTTTTAGAAAGCTAATGGCATAATTACATATCAGAAAAAAAATCTGACAGCTGAAGCAGTGGATAGACTCCTGCGCATATTCTGTTAAGAGGAAATTCAGAGCAGTGTGTTTTTTGTTTTTTTAAATGTAGTTAAGCTCTGCATTTTAAATGCATTATTTTTAAAATGAGTAAGGGGGCGTCTGACGTTTCCTTTCAGGATTACTATAGTCACATTGTAATTGATGTTTGTGCATAGTTTAAAAGAACACTGCAAGGACTATGACCACAGTCCTGGTTCCCTCACAGAGTGATTAGTGAAAACAATTTGATCGCTTACTTGAGTCCTACTAAATGCCTGGTGTGATCATTGGCTGAGAGCATCAGCTGAGAACTTTCAGTCAGTGATACAGCCCCATAAATGATTGTGCTTAGCTTGGGAAATATACCTTCTCCCACAGGAGTTGCCTGATGCTGCACCGGTACCCAGGGGACCCAGGTAAGTTGGTTAAACGTACACTCCAGTGCCAGGAAATCAAATCATTTTCCTGGCACTGCAGGTCCCCTCCCATCCCATGTTGCTGAAGGGGTGAAAACCCCTTCAGTGACTTACCTGAGAAAACCACCGATGTCCCTCGGTGGTGGTTTAGGGTCCGCCCACGGTCCTCCCCTGCCAATGTCAGCCGGCAGGGGAGACCGTTTGCCCATGCGCAGCCGCCAACTGGATGAGACCTAATGCGCATGCTTAAAATGCTTTCCTATGGGGATTTTAGCAACGCTGGAGGTCCTCACATAGTGTGAGGACGTCCAGCGACGCTATAGACCAGGAAGTGCCCTCTAGTGGCTGTCTAGCAGACAGTCACTAGAGGAGGACTTAACCCTGCAAGGTAAATATTGCAGTTTATAAAAACTGCAATAATTACACTTGCAGAATTAAGGGTAGTGGGAGTCGGCACCCAGACCACTCCAATGGGCAGAAGTGGTTTGGGTGCCTGGAGTGTCCCTTTTTAACTGTCCTTAAATGGTTTGACTACTTTGAGAGGGTGCAGAGCACCCCTGACACCATAACCACTATAGCATGTGGATATGGAGCTTGGGATGTTTCTATGTCCCCAGTCAGAAAAGGTATGTTGGATATTGGTGCTTTATGTAGGCAAAGTAAAAGGTTCTGACAATCCCCCCAAAAATGTTAGTTATATGTAATTAACTTTTATATGCCGTTTGCATATAGCTTGGGATATAGTATAAATGTTACTGGATGTTGATGTCTTGTCTCTCAAGAATGGAAACCAAGCTGCACATGACTCCAACTATGCTTCTACTTTAGGTCACTATTTCCGATGATATCTTGGAACTGCTCTGCAATGCATCTATGAGAGGAGTTAAATGGAATGGAAAATGACTCTTGGTGTATTCTGAATGTTTAAATTGCTTGTGTGGAAGCCACTCAGCATTACCCAAGGACATTTCTAACTGATTTTTTTTTTTTTTTAAACATATATATATTTTTTTTTTTTTATCAGACAAATACAAGCAGAACAAAGATTTCAGTTTAATATAAATTCATGAAGAAAGTCAAAGAACAATCCTTCTTAAGAAACATTTTCTTGAATAAGTATTTATTTATTGCAAGGAATTACTATGTGAAAAGATTTATACATTGATCTCCATTTTGCTCATGTTCTAAAAACGATGACATTGGAATGGAAGTGATTGTGCATTATCGTCCTTCCATTAATCAAAAGGAAGTGATACAAAAAATTGCAGATGGTGCATTAGAACAATTCCCTGTTCGAAATTTGCCAACATTTTCTCCTTGGTTTCCATGTAATATACCTAGATTTGCCCTCAAACCTCAGATAAACCCACCTTTAATCTCACAGGAAGATGTAAAGTACATCAGTCCATGCACTGTTAACTCGGAGAATGTCGGGAGGTGTAAAGGCTACGATTGCACTATGGATCTATTAGAATTTAAACCAAGTACAAAGAATGAAGGTGACCAGCACTCTAAGGAGATCGTTAACTATGAAAATACATTCATTGAAGGACAGGCAGCAGAACCTGGTAAGACTATGCTTAGAAGATCCTGGAGTCTTTGTACTTCTAGATGTAACTGGCCAGAAACCATCATTCCCCTTTCTGAGGAGCTGAAGAACCATCTAAATACCCTGCTTCTAAATCCATTCCACAGAGGCTGGTGGAGCATTGAGCCATCGATGTGTGGCGGTCTAAATTTGGAAGAGGTTTGGATGAAACTAAACCGTATAAACAAATACCATTATCTTCCAAGCTGTAATGCCACATTACGGAGAGATCTACCTGAAATCTGGGTTTTCTGTGACTTGAAATACTGTGAACATACTGGCACATTCCTTAAAGAAGAATTAAAACTTACTGGGAAAATGAAGTTGTATGTCCGTAAACATGGAATTATATTATATTTGTAGCATAATCCTTATGTAAACATATTTTGAATTATAACTTAAATACTGCATCAAATAAGGATGAATTTTTCTTTATTTTTTTAATGAAAGTTTATAAATGTACAAAATAAATTCTCTTAGCAAAAATGTGTTCTTAGTGTTATTTTGTTTGTCACTAGACTTGGCAATTTTCAAAGTTTTAAAGGAACACTATAGGGTCAGGAACACAAACACTTATTTCTGAACCTATAGTGTTAAAAACACTATCCAGCACCGTCTGGCCCCCTAAATATAGTAAAATCTTATCTTTATTCCAGTCTGCTGGTTCTGCCCCTGATCTGCCTCCTTGGCTGGCATCATCAGAAGCCAATAACAATGCTTTCTTATCAGAGGCCGGCCTGGCAGGCAGAGCCAAAGGCCACCCTGGCCAGTCAGCATCTCCTTAATTGCATCAATGCATCTCTGAGGAAAGTTCAGTGTCTCCATGCAGAGGGTGGAGACACTGAATGTGTGCAGCACTGCCCCAGGAAGCACATCTAGTAGCCATCTGAGTAGTAGCCACTGGAGGTGTTACAGGGTTCTCTGAAAAAGGGTTTACTGCAAAAAGCCTGCAGTGACTGACCATACTCGCCAAAAAAATTACTTTGAACTGCAGTTGTTCTGGTGATTATAGTGTCCCTTTAAATGTACAATATGAATTGAAAGATTGGTTTGCTTTAAATTGAGTAACACAATGTTCCAATAACGTGGAGAACATTTATACAATTGTCTATCGGTGGTACATGGCCCCATCCAGGTTACATAAAATTCAGTATTTCCAATAAACATTGCTATGCATGCAGTCAAATTTGGTTTACTTTCTCATATTTGGTGGCATTGTCCCAAATTTCTAACATTTTAGAAAGAAATTCACATATTAAGATAATTTATCATTCACTGTATTAATACCCGAGTTAAGTCTGAAAGCAGCTACGTCTTCAGTCCATAGATACCTTAAAGCATCTAATATACCATCTGATAAAGAGGCTCTGTATCTAGTGCTAGATGGCAAGTGTTACGAAATGACTTGGATATCCATCTTCTTTGGTGGACCAATTAAAATTCACTGGAACACATGGGAAGATAATACCAAACAGTCAAAAAGACTCCCAATTGACCTATAATATTATACAGTTTCATAACTGTCATAGACTAGATAGTTTACACCTTTAATGATTTATTGTGTATATACTTGTTTTATTATGTTCATGCAATTTTTTTTTAAATCATTGTATTGTTTAACTATGAACATTTAACCTTTAATCCCCTTTTCCCCTTTTTATTTAATTGATATTGTTTGTTGTATTACTAATTTTAAAACAAAAAGTTCAAGTTTAATAAAAAAAACATTTGACTAGAAAGCTATTTTAGCCATTCTAAATTTATAATTACTATAGGTGTATATAATACAGTGTTATTCACTAAAGTGTGACTTGTTTAGAATTCAAAGTGTATTTAAAAATTTACACCAAAATAGCAGAAGAAAAAAATCAGCTATGCTTTAAGTTTGGCTATTTTTTTTACTTACTTTTTACCCTTAAATGAATTACCCCGATTCAAAAATGTCCTATTTTCCATCGACCAAATAAAATTGGTGTTCTTTTTTAAAGGACCACTATAGTGCCAGGAAAACAAACTAGTTTTCCTGGCACTATAGGGTCTTTAGGTCCCCCCCACCCTCAGGGTCCCACTCCCGCCAGGCTGAAGGGAGAAGAAGGGGTTAAATTCTTGCCTTTCTCCAGTGCCTGGCTCCCTCAGCGCTGGGGAAATCTCCTTCTTCCGACATCAGCAATGAATGCGCATGTGCAGCAAGATCCGCGCGCGCATTCAATCAGTCCATAGGAAAGCATTCCCAATGCTTTCCTATGGACGTCCAGCTTCTTCTCACTGTTTTTCACAGTAAGAAGCGCCTCTAGCGGCTGTCAATGAAACAGCCACTAGAGACTGGATTAACCCTAATGTAAACATAGCAGATTCTCTGAAACTGCTATGTTTACAGCTGCAGGGTTAACCCTAGTTGGACCTGGCACCCAGACCACTTCATTGAGCTATAGTGGTCTTGGTGCCGATAGTGGTCCTTTAAGTATTCTGTTGATCTCACAGTTACCATACATTTTGAGTGTACCCTTTGCATTTTACTTGATCTTTTTGACTTAATTTCTTCCACTTTAAAATAGTGGTTCTGATTTGCCTGTGTTTATTAGACATTGCATAGCATTTTATTATTAATTCAAATTACCGTTATTGCTCACTCACTGGCTTTTGTATACCAAACCCAGGTATTGTTAAAGAACTGACAAGATACATGCAACATTTATACCATAATAGTTAAAATGGAAAAATTCTCCAACATTCCTTATCATTTTTTTTGCAATTGCTGGTTTCGTAAATAAGCCCTGTAGTACATGCAAACCTTTGTGGAAGAGCCTGTAAAATAAGAACTGTGTAGTTTAGAAATTGGGGATATTAGCAGAGATTAAAATTTCAAGTAACACTTTACAAGTCAGGCCTTAAAATTACCCATCACTACAATTTTCACTTGCCAATCTAGTCCCGTGTGAAAGATTTGAGCAGGTTTCTATGCAGTCTATGTATCTGTGTATAGTTGACCCCTTAAAGGAACACTCCATTGTTTTTTTAAACTCCTAGAGGTTTACCCTTAAAGAAAGCATACTTTAATTTTTTTTTCTGCATGGGGGTATATGGAAAGGGGGGGGGGTAAGCATGTGATAGTGACAGAATGCAGCTTTTGCAAGCCCTTCCCTTTATTCCTGGCACATAATTTAATTGCTTCACCTATAGCTTTTTGTAAATCGCTGCAATTTTAAGCCACAGTCCGGAAAGGATTTGGAGAAACTGGCAGCCAAAAGGAGTGTAAAAGGACTTAAATACAAGTTCAGACAGCACTGCCATCAATTTCCCAAACACTCACAGATGTATTTACTAACTAGAGATTTGACAGGAATTCAAAGTGAAGTTCAAGATTTAGGCCAATTTTAGAAAAATTCTTCAAGTCAGATCTGGTTTCAGTTCAACTGTTTTGGCCTTAGATTTAATATTCACTTTGAATTCCTGGCAATTCTCAATTTAGTAAATAGCCCATGTGTCTATTCTCTAAGATACAAGAAGGGGTTGGTTAGTAAAGACCTTTTCTCTGCACTGTGTCCACGTTGTGTATTTCTCTCCAGGGGTGTAGAGTTGTGTGCTTTCTCCCTAACATTTGGAAACCTAAGACCAATATCAAGGTTCGGGATTGTGTAAGATAAACTCACTTTCATTTATTTCCTGAAAGTGCTGTGTGTTGTGAATTCCATCAGCACTGAATAATAAAAAAAAACTTGTATGAATGGTATTACTTTTAGACAGGCATGATGCTTAGCATGACTTATTTATTTTTGATTACGACTAAATGTGTAAATATTTGATTTATATTTTCCTGTCAATTCTCCCCCTCCCTACAGTGATGCGTCTTACCAAGCCAACCCTGTTCACCAATATACCAGTGACCTGTGAAGAACGGGACCTTCCAGGTAATTGCGTGGATTTTGTCCATATAAATCGATGACATCCTTGTTTTTCAGCACTTATGCCCCACATGTTTCTGCTTGTGTCATCACAAGGTTTTGCCCATTTCCAGTTTAGCCATTCATATATTTGTTTGGCATAACACTACACAGCCCGCTCACACCTTTTTTATTTGAAATTTTTTTAAATTTAATGTTTATTCGTTTTAATTTTTCAGTTCAAAAACAGTCAGATCAACATGTGCACATACAAGAGCAGTCACTGGCCACAAATGGTGGAGCCCGCTCACACCTTTAAAGTTAAATGCAGGAACTGTGTACACACATTCAGAGCACCGTGTGTTACATTAAGTGCTGAATTAAGACGTCCCAATATAACTTAAGTGTGAGTGGGCGGTCAGCATTTTTAAAAAACGTTTTTTCGTGCCAGGATTGCATTAAAAAGTTATCGTTAAACCCTTCAATGACTGACAAGATTTAAGAAACTGCACAAAAATGCAATGTAGCATGCCAGTTACTCCCATGTCTTTCTTTTCTTGCAGGAGATCTGTTTAATAACCTAATGAAAGATGACCCTTCCACTGTAAAAGGAGCAGAAATCATAATGCTGGGAGAAATGCTCACCTTGCCACAGAACTTTGGGTAATGAGACAAATGTTAACTGAAAAGATATATTTTTATGATACATACACTTTTAGTTAGGATGTTTGCATACATGAGTTTTTTCGAGTTAAAAGGATTCTAAATTTCCAAGGAAACAAACCCATTTTCCTGGCACTATAGGCTCCTTCCATCCCCCCCTCCCCATTCCCCTGCGGTGCTTTATTCAATGCTTTCCTATGGGGAAAAATCTGACGCTGGAGGTCCTTCTGCAGAGCGTGAGGATGTCCAGCGTCCGATAACGTACCAAAGGTCCATTTCGATACAGGAAGTACTTCTAGTGGTTGTCTGGTAGAGGAGTTAACCGTCAGAGGTAATTATTGCAGTTTCTCAGTTTGCAGTTTACTGCAACAATTACCACTGTAGGGTTAAGGGACATGGGACGTTGCACCCAGTTCACTTGAATGGGCTGAAGTGGTCTGGGTTCCTACAGTGTCCCTTTAAAGGAACACAAATGTGTATTCCTGACCCTATAGTGTTTAACTATTTTGATGGTCGGCTCCCCTTTTTACTTACCTTTTATTTCAGCGCTGGCTCTTTCCCTGATCTGCCTCCTTGGTTGAGATCATCAGACGTGATGACCTAAACCAAGGGGTGGGGGAAGGTGGCAGAACCAAACGCTGCTCTGGCCGATCAGCATCTTCTCATAGATGCATTGAATCAATGCATCTCAAAGGGGAAAGTTTAACATCTCCATGCAGAGCATATAAAATAAGATTTTTTTTTAAACAATTTTTTTTTAATGAATATTAGATTTTGGTGAAATAAGCAAACTGAATGTGGTTTGGATCTTATGTTTCAACAAATAATTTTTCTGAAAAGGCTGTGTTTATACTAAAATGCCTGCAGAGACAGGCTGTACTCCCCAAAGCAAATACGTTAAGTTGTATTTGTTCTGGTGGCTATGGCATCCCTTTTAAAGCAGCACTATTGTACCAGGAAAACAAGCTAGTTTTCCTGGCACTATAGGGTTAATAGGTCCCTCCCCTCCCGCTGGGCTGAAGGGTTATTAGGTCCCCCGCCCCCCCCGCCGATGTCAGCTCCGAAAGCGCGGCCAGAGCTGCGTGTGCATTCAAACCGCCCATAGGAATGCATTACTCAATGCTTTCCTATAGATGTCAGCTTGTCCTCAATGTGATTTTCGTCAGGGAGACAGCCACTCCAGGCTGGATTAACCCTGAATGTAAACATAGCGGTTTCTCTGAAACTGCTATGTTTACAGCTGCAGGGTTAACACTAGGGGGAGCTGAAGTGCTCTGGGTGCCTATAGTGGTACTTTACCCTTGTCCGGGTGTTTATGGACAGTGTTTTTCATGGCACTTATGTACAGTCAGTGGAGCAGCTGAGTGCAAGAGAGGAATCACACTCTCAATATCCCTAGGGCAGTGATGACTAGCCTTTTGGCACACCAACTACTGATGATATCTGTTATGATCTTGTCTGTTCATTAAATGCTTCCCCCTACTTTTTTCCTCTTTTGCCCCAATAGAAATATCTTCCTGGGTGAGACTTTCTCCAGTTATATAAGCGTTCACAATGACAGCAATCAAGTCGTCAAAGACATTCAAGTAAAGGTAATCAGTTTATTTGAAAATGTGTTTGTTTCGTGTGGAGACCTTTCATTAAATGGTTACTCTTACCTTTTTTTTTTCCTTTGTGCATAGTGGGCATTATTCTTTAGGCCCCCCTCATACACTCTAAAATAAGTATAAAAAAAAACCCAACAACTAATCAATAACACACCTTAGATCCAGTGCGGGCGACGCTCTTAGTGCTGCGCTCCACTCCTCGTCTGTCACGGCAACCGTCACAAGGTTCACTCAAATGCTTCTTTTATAGAGCAGTATTGAAGTGGACTTTCTCAAAGCGCATGTGCACACTTCCCTGAAGAGAGATGTAAACTTTGCACAGAATTGAAGTCTCATGTGCCGGGAGTGCAACCAGCCCCTAACACACAAGTGTAAACATCTTTTCATCTTCAGCTACTTTGGTATAATAGTTCAAATTCACCCAAAAAATAATAATCAAGATTTTACAAGTAGGATTTCAAAGTGAATTTTACCAGGGATTTTGTCTCTCCGTTATAAGATATGTCAAATGTATCCTTCAGTTGAATCATATTCCTTTCCCTCCTTGTGGAGGTTCTGAATGTTTCTATTTCCTCAGCTGAATGGAAGTATATATTTTCTGTACACTGAGGGATTTCTGGCATAGAACAACATAGGAAAATGATTTACAATTGGTACATGATCCTTGATAATATCATTTAGACTACACATTACCTGTCATTTGCATAGATGTTCTCTTGAGCAGGATCCCTGCTTCATTTTTGGTGGGCATGTGAGAAGTGCATACATTGATTTTATCATTTACAGGGACTGTAAAACTAAAGATGGTCATGTTCTCATCTCTGCAATGACCTTGACTGCTAAACTATGAGAATTAGACAAGTGGCTGTCTAACTCCTTTCTGAGGGACTGAGTCTCCAAGAAATGGTTGTGGGAGACTAAATGCCTAAACTAAATGCCCTCCCCCAACACTCAATTTGGAATACTGTGAGGCTTTTTTTACAAGATCATTTTTGTAAAAAAAAAATTTTTACATTCACATTAGTGGTATTGAGTCATAATGTTGGGTTTGTCTAATAGTAGATTTACAGTGTAACAAGTCTAACCAATTTTATCTTGTGTAACTGATGGTCAGGTCATGTGCTTTACACTTCTTTGTTTTGATTTTGTTTATTTGTGTTGTCTATCCCTCTACTTTCTCAACGTATGTACTATTTCATGTTTGAAAATCAATAAACATATAAAATACAAAAATCAAGTTGACAATTACAAAATATCACTATTATAACATCACACACATATATAAAAATATATCTCTCAAGATGAGTCTTACACCTTATGAAAATCAATTTAGTTCTCTGAACATAATGTTACAATTTTATTTTCACACATGATTTATTTTTTTCTTTATGTCCCTTTCATAAATTGAGTTTGTCACTGAGATATTTAAGCTGAATGCAAAGGAGAAAAATAACATTGTGGCAATAGATGGCATATAAATATGAAAATTCAGAGAAGTGCAATATAGAGTGGTGTTCATCTAATCTGTCACACATTGCCCAATGTAGGAGATGACTGGTCTTCACGGTGACCGCCATAAATGTAATTTTGTGCCTAAAATTGAACATCGTGTACACATCTACACCACAATATGTATAAATTATATATTGTCTTTATATTAAGTGCCTAGTTTCCTAAGCTTTAACCTCAAAGTTGATTGTTATCAAGGCCAATAGTGATTGTACATAAGTTCAGTTTTAGTTACTAACCTAAATAATATTGCTCTAAAATCTCTCTGTATTCAAGGCTGATCTCCAGACGAGTTCCCAGCGGTTAAACCTCTCTGCATCCACTGCTGTAGTGGCTGAGCTGAAACCAGACAGCTGTATTGATGATGTAATTCATCATGAAGTGAAAGAAATCGGAACACACATGTAAGTAAAACACTGTTTCATTTTCACTTGGCAAGATTTATTTCTTACACTGCGAGCACTTCAACAATGACACTAACATGCTGACTTAGCTGCCACGTCATCCCTGGTTTTATATTCTTCCTGCAAAACAGAAGACATGCAAATCAGAAATACCACGACCTCAACTACAGCACATGCAGAAAGTAGGAACCTCCTGTAGGAGCTCTGTATGTTCAACGTGTGTAGTGAATCAAGTTTTGCAAGATGCTAAGCTAGCTGTACTGCTTTTGTATGGAACCCATTTATTAACTAAAGTAGCAAGCAAGTGAATTCGTCACAGCTTTCTAAATTCTCCAAAAGATGATTCTTGAACCAGTCCTCAGAATTCCCAGTAACCTGTCACACTCTCTCTGAAATTCAAAGGAATCATTTTTGCTTCTCTTTTTTTCCAGTTTAGTATGTGCTGTAAGTTATACCACCCAAGCTGGAGAGAAAATGTACTTCAGGAAATTCTTCAAGTTCCAGGTAAACGTTAAGCAAAATAGAATTACTTTTAAGATATTATGACAAACAAAAAATTTGGAATTTGTTTCCCCTCACACTCCCACCCTTTGAAATATACGCAAACAAGTAAATTAATTGTATTAAGCATGTGCAATGCCTTTTTTTTGCATGAATTGTTTATTTGTAGGCAGGCATCATACTTAACAAGCAAACCAAAAATGAGCTCTGCATGCTTGGATTCTAGCAAAGCCCCTGAAAACTAAAATTGTCGCTCTGGAGACTGGACAAAGGGCAAAAGGAGGAGCTATGGGATTATTCCAGGCATCAATAGTACATCAATGAATTTGATGGGTTCGGGCCTCATTAACATGCTGTATTTTTTGCATGTTCAAATCCTCAGTTTTGACAAAGGAGTCTTTCTGGCATGAAGGGTGTGGCTAATGATGCATGCTTATGGTGCAGAATTCTGCAATAAAAAAAATCTATTTTTTTTATTTTTTTTTGCGAAAACAAAGATTTGAGAATGGGGAAAAAATACACCATATGAATAAGGCCAAACCAATCAAATGCATTCATGTTGTATTGGTGCCTAGAGTGTCCCTTTCTTGCAGTTCTATAGAGAATTGCATCATATCTGCTCTTGTGTATTCTAAAATGTAATTGGTAGCAATGCAATTTTATTGTAGTATGTTTACTACAATATTAAAGGTGGTGCTGTCATCATGATATAGCCTTATGCTCCTATTTTAACAGGGCACTTTAACCAACATAACTACTACAGTCTGCTGCCAAGCTCAGCAAATCAGTGCCCTCCAAATTAGGAAAAAATCTGACATTACTAGTACAGACGACTAGCTTTGACATTAGCAATATATCAAGCAAGGGGCTGGGAGACAGGCTCCTGGGGATTTGACGCTTTGATTGCTCTTAGTGTAATGAACTTGCCATTGCCGAGTACAGTGGCAAGTTCAATACACTAAATTACCATAGGATCAACTACCAGCTGTGATTAAAGAAGTTCCTAGAAACCAATATAAAGAAAATTTAGATATGTGATGAGAAAATGCCTTTATTTTATATTGTGTGGAGCTTTATGGTTATGGAAAGGACAGCTTTTAGGTTCATGGTATTTTCTTTGTACAGGTTAAATCATACTGCTAAAAAGTATATACAAGCACCTATTCATGACTATTATGCAATATTGAGATGAAATAGTAGAGCATACTTTCCAGGGCAAAGTGCCATTCGGCTGTAATGTTATATTGGTTTCCATGGTGATTGTTCACACCGTATCCCAGTTGTTGCCTTAAATGGTACCTATGTGATTTCATTTTATGAAATAATTTTTTTCCCCCCAACTTAAATAGTTTTTGTTTTCTTAGCTGTACGTTGCAGCACTTGCCATGTTATCCATAATTACATAATTAATGCAATTCACAGGATGATGGATATCACCCCCAGATTAGAGGCAGTGCAACACTAGGGATATCACATTCTCTTGCAGCAAAATAGGCAGAACTATGTGGGAAAAAAAAACTTAAAACGATTAAACCCCTCCACGTTTTCCATATCTCCCATAAAATACCCCCAAATGCTCAAGCTGACTGCCTGCCTTTGGCAGGATAAGTAGGGCAGACTAACTTTTATTTTCCAGGTGTGGTGAGGCAGAGAGGGCTCTGCCGGATCAGAGAGCACACCTACAATATGTGACTTGACATACAAAGTCTTTCCTTTTTGAGTGGAAGCTCACAGCTGGGAGGCTATTCAGGTGGAATGCATGTACTGGTTACGATGCGCTCCACCAAGAGATTGCGGCACACTATGTGCAATGCGATCTCAGCGCTATGGCACCAAATTCAAACAGGAAGGCCTTGGAGACTTTGTATGTCAAGTCACAACTAACTGGCAGCTAGGTGCTTTTCAACTCTATTGTAGGTGTGCTCTCACCAGCCCTCCAGCACATCCTGTAACCTAACAAGGTAGGACTTTTTACTTTTTGTGACGGATTACTTGGTCACTTTTAACAACTGGCACTGCACTCTAACTACCTACTCCACAACAGATCTATTTTCCACAATAAAATATCCTTTACTTGCTGTTCCTCCCAACTAGAGAACATAAACAACCACCCCAAGACTCGCAGGGACTCACAAATGGCTCTCTCAGGTACAGCAAGCCCAACTGGGAGCTAACCAGGAACCTCATGGAACTGTGACTCTGATCACGGGAGTGCCACAGTCTGGTCAAATTTTAAGACTGCTCTCAGCCCCAGGACCACCCAACAGGGCACTATTTGGACGGGAGATCAAGGAGGTAATGATGCGTTCGGGTACACCAAGGCTCCGAGAAGCAATTAGCAGAGACTGGCACATAGCCGCAAATCAGCTGCAACTCTAAGTCTGTGGATAGCTGCGGCTTGGTTAAACTTTAACCTGTGATTACTCTGGCTAGACAACTCCGTTCCGAGCGTTTTTTACTCTGGTTGAACACCTTGATCAGAGATATTAATGGATGTAAAAGGTTTGGGATAACTGTATGTGAACATGTATTTGTGTGATTAGTATTGTTAGGTGCCCTGGTGTCTGGTATGTAATGAAATTATCTGGTTCTAAGTCAGCTAAATCACAGACTCCAGGGTGCCCGGGTTGTGCAATACATTGCTTTTCATAATGACCACTGTTGGGATAAATAGGTAACGTAAACCAAAAGAGTCTTTAGACTAAAGTTCCAATACCTCATGTAGTTCTTCTTCTGAAGATTCTGATGCTACTTCTCATGAGGATTTTGCATTTCCCAATTCATTTTTACATAAGCTTATTAAGTTTCATGGTGTATGGAAGATAATCAAGACCTTAGCAAACGTAAGAAAATTAAGTTCTTCTTGTTCCAACCTAAGCTTAAATATCTCGTGCTTAGAGAGTGGAGATATACTACCAAGAAGGCTTTTATTACCAAACTTGTTAAAACTGTATTTTCTATTAATGAAGAAGACCACAAGAAATTGGACTCCTGAAAGTCAACATATCCATTGCGCAGTTAGGCCACACTGCCTTTTGGAGACTAAAGCAGGATGACATGGACAAGAAAGCGAAAACTACTTTAAGAAAAAACATTTCTAACCATTGACATCCAGTCAAAGTTTGCCAAATATCAGAATGATTTCTGATTTTTTTTTTTTTTTTTTTTTGGCAGACTCTACTTCAGAAGCTCTTTGTGGGCCTAATCCATGGGACTTTCTACAGTAGCAAGAAGGGCAGTGTGGCTCAGAGAATAGTCTGTGGGCTCTGCATTCAAACAATTCTTATGTGATGTGCCATTTGAATAGGGGAGACTGGTTACAAACTTGATGATCTTTTAAAACACATGGTGGAAGGGAAAAAAGCACTTCCTGAAGAGAAAAAGAAGGATCGTTGGAACAACGATTGGCTATTGAAAGCAGACTTGGCAACAAAACTTAAAGGACCACTATAGTGCCCTGAGGGTGCCCCCAGCCTCAGGGTCCCCCTCCCGCCGGGCTGGATGGAGAGGAAGGGGTTAAACTTACCTCTTTCTCCAGTGCCGGACGGAGAGCTCTCCGCCTCCTTTCCTCCTCTTCGGCTGAATGCGCATGCGCGGCAAGAGCTGCACGCGCATTCAACCAGTCCATAGTAAAGCATTCATAATGCTTTCCTATGGACGCTGGCGTCTTCTCACTGTGAAAATCACAGTGAGAAGCGCGGAAGCCCTCTAGCGGCTTTGATCACTGACAGCAGTGATCACAAGACTGATCACAGTACTTTACTGTGATCAGAGTTTTTTTTTTTGTTTTTAACCCTCGGGGGTTAAATATATTTATTTTTACTATTATTTTCAGTTAATTAGTTAGCTGGGGTGGATTGAAGCTAGGGGGGATTGGGGAATCTAGCATTAGTGTAGCTAGGAAGCTGAAAAGTTTTTAGAAAGTTATTAAAAGTTTTAGAACGTTATTAAAAGTTTATAAAAGTATAAAAAAAGAGAAAAAAAGTAGTTTATTTTAAGTCAAAGCATTTCTGCTTTGATAGGTGTAAGCACTGTGTTTAGTGGTGATCTGATTTCTGTTTTTACCCACAGGGGTTCATTTTTTTTAAAGTTTTTAGAAGTTTTAGAAAGTTTTTAAGAGTTTTAAAAAAGTGAAAAAAGTATTAAAAAAAGTTCAGAAAAAAGAAAAAACTTTAGTTAAAATTAATTTTAAGTGTTCACCATGCTTAGAAGGTTTAGTGCCGAGGAGGCATATAATATATTAGCAGCTGACTCAGAGGCAACCGACACTGCCTCAGAGAGTGCAGAGGGTGACTGTGCCAGACACTGATGAAGAAAGTGACGATACTCCTGGCGCCGTTATCTGGGTGCTCCCTAACAATTTTGTCCCCGACATCCGTCTGTTCACTGCGACTCCTGGTATTCAGGGAGTCGTGACCAGCTATAATTCCCAGGATTTTATGGAGCTGTTCCTTGGGGATGATTTTTTTAGGGCAGATAGTTACACAGACAAATATTTATGCAACGCAGTATCTGGCACAAAATGCAGCAAGTCACTTTGCCACAAAAGGGAGCTGGTACCCCACCAGTGTGTCAGAATTAAAACTGTTCTGGGCATTAACCATGCTAATGGGAATTATAAAAAAGCCCAGCATCCAAATGTACTGGTCCATTTTCTCTCAGACCATGAGTAGGCCCAGATATGAATCAGTACTGCGTTTTCTGCACTTCAATGATAATTCGAAGTGCCACCCCAAAGATAATCTGCAGTATGACAAACTTTATAAAATCCGCCCCTAATTAACCATTTTAATAAAGAATTTGGCATAATTTATACTCCCCAAAAGAATATATGTATTGACGAGTCCCTAATGAAATACAAGGGTAGACTGGGGTTCAAGCAATACATCCCATCCAAAAGATCCCGGTATGGCATCAAGCTATACAAGTTATGTGAAAGTAGCAGTGGGCATGTTTATACCTTCAGAGTATATGAAGGTAAAGATAGCCACCGGGATCCCCCAGGTTGCCCTGATGTAGTTGGGACTAGCGGAAAAATAGTTTGGGATCTAATGAACCCGCTTCTGAACAAGGGGTGCCACCTCTACCTTGATAATTATTACAATAGCATACCCCTCCAAAAAATGCTATATTGTTTTGAGACTGTGGTCTGCGACACTATCCGCAAGACACGTACTGGCTTCCCCAAGGCTCTGGCAGAGAAAAAAATTAAAAAGGGGGAAACTGCTGCTCTCTGCCAGGACGAACTGCTGGCTCTGAAATACAGAGACAAAAAGGAGGTGTTCATACTGACTACCATGCACAGTCAACACACTCGCAGGGTCGCAGTCAATGGCAGACAGGAAACAAGACGGTTGCCTGTCTGCATTAAGCAATACAATTAACACATGGGGGGGAGTTGACCTGTCTGATCAACAGCTGCAGCCATATCAGATAATGAGAAAGACCAGGGCCTGGTATAAGAAAGTACGCATTTATTTAATGCAAATGGCTACTCCCAATGCATTCATCCTTTTCAAAAATCCTCAGCTGAAATGAACTTTTCTTTCTAATTTCTGTGCTTCTCACTGAGTGCCACAGTGGGGAGCCATCAGCAGGGCCTAGCAGCAGAGATATTCAGACAGGTCACTTCTGCTTTCGGATACCACCAACCCCCCCAAAAAAGACCCCCCAGAAAAGGTGCAGGCTGTGTTACCAGAGAGGCATTGGAATGGAGACCAGTTTCTACTGCCCTGATTGTCCCACTCAGCCTGGCCTGTATTGGGAACTGTTTTAAATTATTTCATACTCAGGGCCAATAAATTCTCAATACAATGAATATTCTTGTTGTAGTTCTTCTGTTATTTAACCACTGACAGATAGATATATATATATATATATATATATATAATTGCAAAAAATATATTTTTTAAATATAATGGTAAATGGTGAATATATATATATTGGGGTGGATGATAGTTCCTGGGAAATTGGGGTGTTTAGTGCGTATGCTAGGGGTAAAAATACAAATAAAAAAAATCCACAAAAAAATAAAATAACATTATTATAACATTGTTTTGTTAAAATTCTTGTGTAAAATGTTCAAAATGCTTAGGAAGTACAGTTAGAGAATTATGACAGCGGATTCAGAGGTGACACACAAAGCTTGAAACAAACAGAGTCTCAAATTTGCCCCTTCAACATGCACATATACCTGGGAAAGTTATACACGGGGGTATTGCTGTACTCAGACGACATAGCTGAGTGACATATGAAGAATTATACTGCCGTAGCACACCTAAGGATTGTAAACTATGCAGTAAAATCTCAAAGTGTGTGTCAAAAAGGCAGAGAAAATGCTTACTACTACTGGACTTGGTACTCACTAGCGAAAAAATGATCCCACCCTAAGGTTCAAAATGGGCCTTTTGAAATACCCTGGGGTGTCTTGTTTAAAAAATGGTAGGCCTTTGTTGGGGAAGTTTGAATAAGCAACCTGCTATTAGACCCCAAAATGAGTCACAAACCTATTAAATTCTGTAAAAACTGAAATGGTCAGGTCCCCTATATGGCAGTGTAGCTTCAGGAAATACGGCCAAAGGCATACATTGGGGGTATCGTTTTACTCACAGGAGAGAGCTCAGCATAATTTGGGTTGTTTGATCATATTGGAACATATCAAATATACAAAATGCCCAGCACAATTGTAACGCACAAGTTAAAAATGTGAAAAATATTTTTTTACCACTAATTTTGACATATAATGGTGAAAAAATGGCGACATGTTAAGGCACAATATATGCCATATAAGATACCCTGAAGTGTCTACTTTCACAAATGGTAGGCCTTTTTGCGGTTATTGAAACAGTCAAACTGCTATAATGGCCCAAATTGAATCATAAGCCCTGCAAATCCGTCTCTCAAAATTCTACTCTAAAAACTGAAATGGTCAGGTCTCCTTTATGGCACTGTAGCATCACAAAATAGTGTCAAAGACCTACATTGGGGGTATTGTTTTACTCAGAAGACTTAGCTGAGCATAATTAGGGGTGTTTGATCATAGTGGAACATATCAAATATACAAAATGCCCAGCACAAATGTAATGCTTAAGTAAAAAGTGCAAAAAATATTTTAACACAAATTTTGACATATAATGGTGAATAAATGGTGACCCGTTAAGGCAAAATATATGCCATATGAGATACCATGGAGTGTCTACTTTCACAAATAGAAGGCCTTTGTGTGGTCATTTGAACAACCAAACTACTATAATGCCCCAAAATAAGACATAGGTCTATTAAATCCATCTTTGAATTTTCTAACTGTAGAAACTGAAATAGTCTGGCCTCTTATATGTCATTGTAGCTTCCCAAAATAGTGCCAAATGCATACAATGGGGGTATTGTTGTACTCAGCTGATGTAGCTGAACACAAAATGGGATTTTGACCAGGATTAGCACACAGCAGCTTTACAAAATACACATTTAAAAAACCTTGTTATATGTGTGTATTTCAAAAAACTGAAAAAACACAATTTTACTACAATATGTAGCAGTGATTGGTGGGAAAATGGCTATGTAAAAAGTGTCAAAATACCTTAAATAAATAGCCTGTGATGTCTTCTTTATATAAATACTTTTGTTTTCTGTGACGGCTGTTAAACTTACAAGTCAAACATACGAACTTCTAAATTTATTTCACTTTTTTTTTTATATTACTCCTTGTATTTTGTGACCTGTAACTTTTAAAATAAGCTGAAATCCTTTACATATTATGCACTTTGAAAAACAAGACACCTAAATGAATTTATTTTGAATTACTTTTCCTAAGGTGGACATATTATGCACACACTATTATTGCCAAAACTGTAAAAAAAAATTTTTTTTCATTTTTTTTTTTTAATAATAAATTAGATTTTATATATGTATAAGTCACATCAAAGTAAAGCCCATCTTGTCCTTTAAAAAACGATATATAATATGTGTTGATTCAATAAATGAGAGCGATGCTAATTGCAGTTGAACACAAACAGCAAAAAATGCAAAAATAGCTTGAGTCCTTAAGGGTATGTCCAGCTTCTGAAGCTGCATCCTTAAGGGGTTAATCCCTAGGGTCATAGATCTTGTTTAAAGCTAAGAAATTGTTTTTACAACTAGGGTTTGCAGAAGGCTCACATCCAGCTTCTCTTTACAACATTAATCAAGAAATAGTCTGGCCTTCCTTTTGACAAATTACACAAAATAAAAAAAGAAAATAAATTCCACTGTTTGGACAATAAAGGGAAACTATAGTGCCAGGAAAACAAACTAGTTTTCCTGGCACTATAGCTTCCCCCTCTTTCAAGGTCCCCCACCCACCTCCATGGTGCAGAAAGGGTTAAACCTACTGTCACTTACCTTGGTCCAGAGCCGATGTCCCTCAGTGCTGGCTCAGCTCTTCCCCCAATGGCCGCGCTCGCATTAAAGGGACACTCCAGTGCCATTTGCTGAAGGGGTGAAGCACCCTTCAGTCACTTACCGGAGACCCCCGCCGACGTCCCTCGGTGGTGTTTTCGGGTCGCCGCCGCTGCTCATCCTCTTTCTTACGTCAGCCGGTAGGCGAGACTGATCCCGCCCGCCAACTGAGGAGACCTAATGCGCATGCACGGCAATGCCGCGCACGCACATTAGATCTCTCCATAGAAAAGCATTTCCTATGGGAAATTAAGTGACGCTGGAGGTCCTCACACAGCGTGAGGACGTCCAGCGACGCTCTAGAACACAGGTTTTCTGTGCTTTGAATCAGGAAGTGCCCTCTAGTGGCTATGAAGCAGGAAGTGCCCTCTGGTAGACAGCCCTCTAGTAGACAGCCACTAGAGGAGGAGTTAACCCTGCAAGGTAATTATTGCAGTTTATAAAAACTGCAATAATTATAAAAACTGCAATATTTACACTTGCAGGGTTAAGGGTGGTGGGAGTTGGCACCCAGACCACTCCAATGGGCAGAAGTGGTCTGGGTTCCTGGAGTGTCCCTTTAAGAATTCACCATAGGAAAGCATTATCAAAGAACTAGAAAATTCAGAACATTTATTTGTTCACAAGAAAGGCTTGATAGCCTCCAAAAGATCATTGGCCAGATGGACAAAATAAGCTATATATTTGGCTTGCAAATCATCCGGCTTATCACCTCTACTTTATATTAAAGCTCATTCCACGAGAGTATCAGCCACATGGTCTTTTATGCACACATTTGCTTAACATAACAGGTTAGATATACAGTCATCTGATTCTGAGGACATGTTTTTTGGGCACAAGGTTGCCCAAAAGCAAAGTTTCACAACTGCTTGCTTGTTAATCCCTAGTGATGCACTGCCTCAAATCTGAGGGGCAAAGACAACATTTTTACTTACATATTATTTTTCTTCACTTTCTTAAGAATAGAGGCAGTGCACTTCTATTTCCATCCCATATTTGAATAAATTTTATTTTTGCATCAATTTGGCTTGCGTACGTTCTGGGGCATTTGGGGGTCTTTCATGGCGAATAGGTATAGGATAAGTGGGGGGGGAGCGTAATCTTTTAAAGTTCTTTTTTATACAGGCCTGTCTATTCTGCAAGTGAAGATGATATTCCTTGTGTTGCACTGCCTCTAATCTCAAGGAAAAATAAATTTATAGTAAGTAAAAGATTTTGTCTTTCTCTTGATCCTCTGGAATGTACACAGTAAGGGGGCACTTAACAAAAGGAGCAGAGCCTCTTCTGCAAGCCTGTCGGTGACACAGTGCTACTTTTGATACTCAAAGGGATTAGATTGTTCCTTTTTGCCGACCGATCCCTCTTTAACCTGCCTTCTGTGTTCACGCAGGTACTTAAACCACTTGATGTAAAGACCAAATTCTACAATGCAGAGGTGAGTTTTTAAAGCTAATGACAAGATTCATATACTTAATCATTGTCTCTTTGCTGATGAAGATCCCCTGGGTTTTAGAAAATAAGCATCTGTGTGTATACAAGGGGATAAATATTATATATAATATGATGTTTGTCATTTATTGGATGTTTATATTCTTACTAGATTATATATTAAAATAATATATGCATGGTTATTCACTAATCTAAGAATTGTAGAGAATTATTATAGGAATTACACAAAAAAAGCTGGGGGGGAAAAAAGCTCAATTGGAGAGTTCTTCATGTTGGCTATTTTGACATAAATTTTGTAATTCTTTGTTTAGTGAATAAGGGGAAGTGCATTTTAGTAAATCCCACAACATGTGTACATTGAGATCAAATTTTTCTATGTGTGTAATTGTTACACATAGCGTACTCCCATTCCTGGTCCCATGCATTGGGTGGCATTCTCATTGCATTATGCAGCATTATTGCTAGATAGTTTGATATTATCCAGGACTACTACCCAGGGCCAGTATTGTCCAGTTTTTTCACATTTGTGCAGTATGCAGACCATTAAATGTCCATATATTCATTAGTAAGTGATAACAAAGTTCTTAAACTGAGTCTATCGCCATGGAAATCAGTGGAGTGTTCCTGCTGTTTGTTCCACATTTAGAGCTTTGCCACAGAATTTCTCATTTATAAATACTTCACTTTCTATCAGTTCATTCAAACATGGACAAAGCGGGGAAAAAGGCATAAGGAGGTTTATTTCTGCGACATAACTGGAACGTGAGCTGTCAGTTTGATTTCTCAGCCTTAAACTCGAGTAGCTTTCATAGGTGTGTAGCAGTTGCCATAACGCTGTATTCCACTTGGATGTGCCATCATCCTCTGCAGGACAACCCACAGGCAGTATTTTCACTGTGTTTCAATGTATACACACTTCACATTTAAAACTTTTCTACTTGTAAACATGGAAGATTCCAAATATGATGTGGGATTAAAATGAGTTCTGACTCTGTTACCCGTTTAGAACTAAATCCTATACACCCATCTGACCGTAACGATCACCATCTTCCCTATGTATACCTGGCATAGAATGTCAATGATAAGAACGTGCATGCCTTTCTCATTGCTGGGTAATCTCCAACGTGGGTCTATGTAACAAGGCAGAACTCTTTGGTTATCAAGGAGGGCTGATACTAATTGGTTGCTATGGTGATACGGGTCCAGGCAAATCTGGGCTCAGTGCATTATGGGAAAATATACTTTGTCTAACCATTATTGCTCACAGTGTGTCTTGTCTTGTTAAGTGTAATTATATTTTGTTATTGCAGTACCTTTACTAATGACGTGGTTATAAAGTAATGTGTGTGTGTGTGATACGTTTCTAGTTTTGTAATCCCTTTTGGGGTTTTTTTTTTACATTTTATTTTTTTCTCCTTCACTTTTAACCCTTATTTCTCTAATTTTCTTTATTTTTTTCCCCCCCATTAGAGTGACCTCAGTTCTGTGGTAATTTTTATTATTTAATTCTAAAACAATGCACTTTTTATGTTTAATTGTCTTCGTGCCTGTTTAATAAATTAATCTCATTTGAAAATGGAAGCTTAATAGAGAAGCAAGATCACCAAAAAAATATATTTTTTCCTCAATATAAGGGACATTTTTAAATAATCACACCAATAAGCATCACAATAACATAAATGTTGTACAGTCGGGCAGAAAAGAAGAAAATGACACTACATAATGAAAGATTGGATGGCATGTAGTTAGAAATAAGTGTAGTAATAAACATTTTTGCTGATATTTTATTTGCCCTTCTAAGAAAGATCAGAAATTGCACTGTCAAAAGTACAAGCAAAAGTTCTCCATTATTGGAACGGTAGTCCTATAATTTTTTTTTAATTTTTTTTAAATTTTTTTTTATTTTTTTTTCATTTTTTGTAAAGGGTTTTTTTTGGTTGGTGCATTCATAATTGTGTTTATGAAGACAAAGTTAAATCTATATTTGATTTTTCTGGTTTTGTTCATGGTACTTCAGTAGGAGGCAAATAATATGCTGCAGATTTCCCTGCATCTCATAACTTCACACACAATTCTGCCTAACAGTCTGTTTTAGATTAAAGGAACACTCTACTAAAAATTGTATTTTCTATCCCCATTATCAAGAGCCCTGTATAATTACTAATTATGTAATCGAGGGATTACAGGCAATACGTTCATACAGTGTAGGATTAGATATACCATATAGATAGATTTATTTTTCCCTTAAACTGTGCCGACACATTTGTGGATATTTAATCAAGAAGGAGCCTGTGTTTTATTTGCAGTTCCAAATAAATCTCCATTTGTGACATACATTTTCAGGAGCTGGTCACATCTCCGATATTTTATTGCTGATCTTGCTTGGCTATTTTTTTTATTTTTTTTACTGCTTATTTTTTAACTTCACTTTCTTAAGCTCCACTAAACCTCTGGCTTTTTTGCTGAGATTTGCTTCATTGATATTTTACCTGTATGCAGAATTTGGTGAAACTGTACTTAAAGCAATGGATTGTGGGATAGGAGGCGCATTGGATTAATGTTTTCGTGAAAATTGATCCATCCAAACAAGAGTTAATTGGTGGCATAAAATGTGCAACCTTACTTATTGAACTCCTTGTGTGAGTGACTGTTTCCTGCCTAAGGAAACAGACTTCAGCCCTTGCAGTTCGAGAGTATCTATAAAATCCAGAGTGATCACTAGCACATGCTGCCTCTTTCAATAGCATTATGCCAAGGCGCATATAAAAGAAGTCAAGCTTTTTGGGACTTTAACAATAGCAGCACATGTTGCCCTAAATAAACCTAAAATGGAGGTCCATACGTATTTAGAGTGGAACTATTTTGTAAAAAATTTTTGCATTTGAAATCCGTTAAGAGGATAGAATGTCCAGTTTTATTTGAGTATTTTTATCAGTAAACTAACTTTTGAACTGGCTGATTGGCTTTTAATTTGTCATGTGTGTTATTGCATCATTGGTTGCTGCATTACAGCTAACAAAATTAGCATTAATCTTGTTATAGGCATGAGATTTACATTGGGAATCTGATGCTTTATCTCTCTCAACGTGAGAAGCAAATCTGTATCACTGCTAATAAAGCCGGTCATGAGGTTAAAAACTAAAAGCAAAATAAATCCAACAGGGACACAGCTAAAACCTGTTCTCTAAAAATACACTGAACTTAGCAATTGAATATGATCTAATAAGCCACTGTATATGTCTATAACAGACAAAGAAGGATGCTTGTAAATGTGAACACACCCTTCTCTAATGTCAAACAGGACTCTTTTCAGGATATAGGCGTGGAAGTGTCAAGAAAGTGATAGAGCACTACAGCAGTATAACCTCAGACTGGGTAATTTATTAAAGGGACACTCCTGGCACCCAGACCACTTCTGCCCATTGGAGTGGTCTGGGTGCCAACTCCCATCACCCATAATCCTGCAAGTGTAATTACTGCAGTTTTTTATAAACTGCAATAATTACCTTGCAGGGTTAAATCCTCTTCTAGTGGCTGTCTACGAAAAGTGTTTTAAACGACGCCAGACGTCCTCGCGCTCTGCATGAGGACCTCCAGCACACGCCGTTGCCGCGCATGCCAGTTGGCGTGGGAAGAGCCTTTACCAGCACCAAGGGACATCGGCGCTGGATTCACGGAAGTCACTGACGGGGGTTTAACCCCTTCAGCAACATGGGATGGGGGGGGTGGGAGGAGGTCCTGCAGTGCCAGGAAAACTGATTTGTTTTCCTGGCACCGGAGAGTCTCTTCAACAGGAGATTTGTTGAGAAAAGTCAGTTTAAAATGTAAAGCCAAAATAGCCAAACTGGAAGCAGCAGGCTGACTTGGAGAATTGTTCTAGTTCAGCTATTTTGGCCTTGAGTTTAAAATTCACCTCGAAAAACACATTTGTCACTAGAGTGAATAACCCTGAGAGCGTTGGCAGAGCAAAGATACAGTTCTGTTTTTGTTTTTTGAGTAAAACTTGAAGAGTTCTGCAACAAAGCATGAGGAGGAGTATGAGAGAGAAAAAGTATGCAACCGTAGTTCTATGGCTTGGGCAAGTATAGCTGCCACTGGAACTGTCACACTGGTATTTATGGATAGTGTGACTGGCATCAATGGGATGAATACTGAACAATACAGAAGATTGGGGAGACTAATCAAAGTGTTCAGAAAAATATTCTGCCTCTACGCCTACATAAAAGTGGAATGAGAACACAGGGTAATAGAGTTCTGTCTTATACCTTTGCCAAAAAAAAAATATCAACTACAAAATACATTGATACGTGTTATACAAACCTGTATTGAAAAAGAGCAAGCTGGTAATTTATGCCAGAAAAAATTGCGGAGGAAATCTTCTCCATTGTGTCGACCAGATCCAAGCAAATGCCTCAAATCACATTGCAACAGGACACTTATAAAGCAGCTAGGGAGGTTTTTTGTGGCTGCAACATGAAATCTGCCAAGTTTATAAAATAACTTTTTATAAGAATCCAACTGATCATGCATTTCATTTGCTAGAGACATGACTGAAGCTGACACCAAAGGTGGCTACATTCTGAGCCTGATATAACATGACCCGTAAATAGCATATGATGATGAGTACATTTGAGTTTTACACTTAAATTAATCACCTTTAGTTCCCTAAAACTGACACAGATTAAAAGCCATTATTCCTGGTAAATGTCCTTAAAGGGGTTAGTATTCATTTTATGCTGTTAATGGTTATTTTATTTCCAATCCAACATGTTGGGGTGCTGATCCCAAACTACAAAACCCGTATTTTTGTTCAAAAACTTGTGAGTTGCACTATATACCTTTTTAAAAAGTGTACATTTCTATTAATATCTGCACTATTTCCAAAATTAAAAAGAGGACACAGCCTTCAGACATAAAGCTTTTCAGCAAGCGAAAGTGCTTTAGGGGTCTGGAGTGTCCCTTTAATTGGCTGGCTATTGCAGGGTGGAGGAGAGAGAGTTAGTAAAATCTTTTTGATGTACTTTGCCCTGAAGTGTTTAATCGCAATTTTGATTTTTCACAAGCATAATTGGGTACATTTATTTTAATTATTGGTGAAGGTCGAACCTTTTTCTTCTCCAGCTGCGAGGACATCTACTGATAGCAGCAGATGTATCATAAAATGGGCTCAGATTAACAACTTGAGCATGGGATTGGCTATAGTACCTGATGAAGCCATTGTCTGCCACTTAACCATCCAAGTCCAGTCAATTCACTGTCCCATTATCCCTTATCTGATTGCATGTCAGTATTATAAAAAAAAACAAAAAAAAAACTCCAATGTGCCACAGGGTAGAATTCAGAAGCTGGAATAGATAATCTGTTTGGAGGATTGTCCTTCAAGAGCAATCTTTATAGTGCACCAACTAGGAAAAAACTGATCACAAGAAGCCAAGTGGATGATGATGTTAATGAACTGACTGCTAGTGATGTCGCGAACCGTTCGCGAACTCCGGTCAGCTGACACATCCCTGCCAATCTCCGGCAGACCCTCCTACTTCAACATGGATGCTGTCCAGGAGGTGGGAGGATCTGGGAGGGAGGGTCTGCCGGAGATTGGCAGGGATGTGTCAGCTGACCGGAGTTCGCGGCGAACCGCGGCGAACGGTTTGCAACATCACTACTGACTGCTTGTCTGTTTTGTGTCTGTGTAATCAGAATAGCCTTCAATAAAATATTCTACATAGGGCTTTTAGATTGATTCCCTAGATACCTGTATGCTTCACTGCCATGAAACAGTGGAAGTTACCAGGTAGGGAAATTTCACTCCAAGATAACTTGTCAATGAATAATACCAGTTTCAACAAGCATGGCAAATAATGAGCTCTTCATACAGCAGTGAAAGTTTAAAAATGTATCATTACACAGTCAGTCTAGCCTTTAAAATATCCAGTATTGGAATGGGTAGCCAGACTTTTGAGCCACATGGCAATACACATAAAAAGGGGAGACCATGCAGTGTAGACCCAATGATCTATCAAAAGTCTCAATTTGGAAACTGGGTTTTGAACAAGGTGGTCTGGCTTATCACACTTTGAATAGATTGTCGACAGATTAGCTTCATGGCTACCAGATGAAATTCACAGCTCAGAAAGTTCATCATATCACTAAAAGACAAACCAGGAATTCTGCAGACCTAGTCAGCTTTCTGCAATAACTAGCTGTCATACATTTGTCCTGCTCCCAAGAGAAATGTCAGGCTGGCAGTGCTCTTGGCACCTGAATCTGTACCTTTAACCACGAAAGGTTTGGTTACCAGGTCTATTCACTTTGTTCCAAGCACAGCACTAGGTACTGCTACAAGTTTTAGATTTGCTGATCTCACAAGGAATACTGTTTAAAAGATTCTAGACCGCATAAGGCTTTCCTGCTGGCGGTTCCATTTCATTTTGGGAGAAATTGAGATTTTGGTGTTTAAACCTGTAAGCAAGTTTTTATTTCGATAAGTAATTACATATATTACCCGTGAGAACATTTGGCTTACTACCCAGGGATACACAGATTTCTACATGGAATGGACAACTGAAATCCTCAGATTGTTGGCCTGCTCCTGCATGCAGCTAACATTTACAATGATACAGGCATGGGCTCTTTATGAACCAGCCATGAAATAATATCCAAAATCTCTAGTAGCTCATTCTACAAGAGGTAAGGCAACTTCATGGGAATATGCTATGCTAGAACAGATTTGCAAGGCCACCACATGGACATGTAACTTCACTAAAGGGTTACTATAAGGGTCAGGAATACAAAGCATGTATTCCTGGCATGATAGCTCCCTCTGCCCCCCACCAATGTAAAAAAAAAAAAAGGAATAAAAACCCTTAATATACTTGCCTTACCCCAGCGCTGATGACCCTTGGCACTGGGTCGCGGCTCTGCCTCCTCCGACGTCCTGCGATCGCGCGCACTAGACCTCCCAATAGGAAAGCATTGAATCAATGCTTTCCTATGAGGAAAAAATCCGACGCTGGATTTCCTCATGCAGAGCGAGAGGACATCAAACGTCTGTTACCGGAACAAAGGTCCATTAGGATCCAGGAAGCGCCTCCAGTCGCTATCTGGTAGACGGCCACTGGAGGCAGACTTAGAGTTGCAATGTAAACATTGCAGCTTTACTGGACCTGCAATGTTTAACAATAAGGGCACTGCATCCAGACCACTTCAATAAGCTCAAGTGGTTTGGGTGCCTATAGTGTCCCTTTAAGCACTGCTGCTTCACTGTTTTTTGGGGGTGGGGGGCTGTTATTTTGTTCAATTTCATCCTGCATATGTAGAAGTTAACCGGAAAATACTCCAGGCAATTGTTAACGTTTGACCAACCATTAATTGCATGTTTGTAGGGCTTAATTACTGTAGAGGCGAATGTCCTACAATTCTTAGAGCTTCAGTATATAAAGAATTCATGTGTGAGGAACTGGGGTATATTATTTCTAACTAATCTGTCACTGAGTGATACAATTCTCTTGGTGATCATCCATTTCAAGCTAAAGCTGAGTTTTTCCATTTAGTGTTTGTTGTGTTTAAGTGCAATAAAGTAATTCCTTTTTAATAAAATCGAACAATCTAAATATGCATGTACAGCCAAGTGTCTAGAGACAGCTAATATTTGGTTTTATTGTACATTTTGCAGGCAGTTAAATATGCATTCTACGAGCGGTATGATCAAATGCACTAGTGTTATTCCTATCCCGCATCCATTGCTTGCTTATATATACCATTTGACTAACTTTGCTCCTGATTCTTAAGTTTGGGATGCAGATTGGACCCGCCCATTAATCTGGTGACTTTTGATTTCCAGGCATGATACTAATCATCCTTATTCGAAAAGCATTGTGTCCACCTGTCTTAACTTCACACTTTCAGTCATTAACTTGTTATGTTGTTTCTGCAGACAGATGAAGTTTTTCTGGAAGCCCAGATCCAGAATATAACAACATCCCCAATGTTTATGGAGAAGGTTTCCTTGGAGCCATCCATGATGTACAATGTGTCTGAACTTAACACCGTGTATAAGGATAGTGATCGGTAAGGACATTTAATATACATTGTAAAGCCTTGCCTGTAATTTACCTAACACATACCAGAACCAGCAATCCGATCTGCTAATATTATTATTGGTATTTATATAGCGCCAGCTTATTCTGCAGCGCTTTACAATAAAAGGAGAATAGAATACAATACTAGAGAGCTACTTAGTGGCTCCTTTTGATGTAAACATACCAATAAAGCATATAGACTTTAGTAACCTGGTTATAGTATTTTAGAACAGTGATAGTCATAGCAATTAAGGTGGAACACATAGGTAGTATGTTGTTCCTAAATAGATAAATCAGAAATATTCATGGCTTCTATATTATTTTTATAACTTCTGTAGGAAGTAGTGCACAATTAAACAGAACTAAAATAAATTAATTCATTGATTTGCTCAAGTACAATTGTTTTGAGTTTGAAGATATCCACCCATGAAAGGCATTCGATAGTGCAATAATGGCTCATACAGGAGAAAGACAGAAAAAAGGAGGAAGCTCAATTCACACACCATTACAGGAAAGACTTAATTATAAAAGTGGGACAATTCCTAGGGTATTCAAACCTGTTAAGACCTTTTTAGTGGGTCTGTTGTAATTTACCTGAATAAAGATTGTTGAGAGAGAGGAAGTTCCACATCTTTATCAGGGTACAGGAAGTCTGTTTGAACCAGTCACGGAATGTAAGATTTGCACAATGTGTACCTTCTGTGTTACAGTCTCATTGGGGACTTCTCCCTTATCATCCTCATATTTCCTAGAAATATCAGGAAGGTCCCATGGCATGAAGCCTGCTGCTATTAAAAGGGAAGGAGTTAGATTAGAAGGGGACTTTAAAGCTCAGGGGAACCAGATTTTCTTTATTTTTACAAATGTGATATATTCAGTACTATGAAACATGTTGACTCTCCTAATGTGTGTCTTTTAGGTCATCCACTTTTGGAACAAAAACCTATTTGCAGCCTCTGGACACAAGACAGTATTTATACTGCCTAAAACCAAAACCAGAATTTGCTGAGAAAGCCGGAATCATAAAAGGTGTTACCGTAATTGGAAAGTTGGATATTGTGTGGAAAACCAACTTGGGTGAAAAAGGAAGACTTCAAACTAGTCAACTTCAAAGAATGGTACTCTTAAACTAGGAGAAATGTACCTTTTGTAGCAAGTGCACCACATGAATGCAGACCCAGAAGGGCTTGGTAATGTTGTGGTCAAGATATAAGGCATTACATGTAGCACAATTCAAATGCTATGCATCCCTTGGTATTAAAGTAAAAAATATTGATAAATGGGAGAATCGGACTGCAATACCCTAAATAAAGATTTCATTTCAAACATGCTTGGTATTTAGCATACATTTAATATCTAGAAGCATTGTAATGTCTACTTGAACAGGGGTCCTTTTGAATTGGTCACGCACATGTTGATAAACTGTGTAAATATTAATTTGTTCCAAATCCAGTTCAACATGTGTTTCATTGTCATGTGTTTTTTAGGCTCCAGGCTATGGGGATGTGAGGCTTTCTATAGAAACTATTCCTGATACGGTCAATCTGGAGGAACCTTTTGAAATAATGTGTAAAATCACAAACTGCAGGTAAATTCAATCATTTGTCCGAGCTTTTTCCATTTCATTAGTCAGTGTAGCAATTATGATTTTGATGTGAATTGACTTTTTACACAGAATTGCTGAACCGTTGCTCATAAGCAGCTTCCTCTGAAGCACGTGGATCCTGGTCTGATCCCATATGCTCTGTTCTCTTCTGTAGGCATTTCCAATGTCAGAGGCATAAGCTAGTAATCATCACTCTAATAAAATGCCCTATTGTGGATTGGAATTAGAAAAGTGTGTCTATTGCTATGTTAGTTTCATTCCATATTTTGGTGTTTCCAGTACAGACTTACCTACTGGTTTATATCTACATGTTTATGAATTCTGGGAAAGTACAGGAGATGGATAGATAATGGACCATTATCCACACTTGCATTGATTGGGAACATGCTTCCAATGTTGTATGATGTTAGGTCCAAGAGTGAACTCAAGTGGGTCCTTATCCTTGTCAATGAGAGAGACAAAAGGAGTTTTGCTTGGAAACCTTTAGAGGGCTTGAATCACTGTTCCTTTCATTACTGAAATTGGGATTTAACTTTGCTTGTAAATATTTATACATTTTGCCTTCTCTAGCTTTGCTTAAAAGTAACCACTTTTCATATGGTTTACCAGTGGTGGATAATTACAACTCCTATCAGGTTTTCAATGATTTTGTTGACTGGTTGGTGTTTTCTATTGTCAACCCTAAAATTCCAGTTTGAGTGAGACTCGGCTCTACCCTTCCTTCAGTGCCCTTGTGTGCATCAGCTTGTATGTAGCCTTTCTTGCTCATGTTTTCCTCTAAAATAAGCCACTGCTACTCCAGTAGTGATAGGTGTATATTCTTCTATCTAGCAGTGAAAGAACCATGGACTTGATTTTGGAGATGTGCAACACAAATGCTATTCACTGGTGTGGAGTTTCAGGAAGGCAGCTTGGAAAGCTGCACCCAAGCTCATCCCTCCATCTTACACTTACCCTACTTTCTTCAGTTCAGGGGCTGCAAGTAAGTTACATACATTTTTTTTCCTGCCTGCATATTATTTATCTTTTAGCTTTGCTCATAAAATGAACACAAGATCACTGTAGTTTTTAATGATGCACAGCAAGCAGATAGATATGGAGATAAAAAACCCTCACACATCAGTCAAGGAGCCCTTTACCAACATTGACATCCCTTCCACATATCTTAATTTAATCCAGTTTGCACGTAAATATTGAATACCAGGCTACATCCATATTCAATAGAAACTTATGGAGACAAGTCCCAGTAGAGGACACAACTTCAATATGAAATTGTCATTATAAAGGTATTAAAAGTCACAATTAGAATACAAAAAATTGAGTATGACAGAAACAAAACACAAAATGAAAAGTGAACTTTTCATTTCTACTCTTCTGTCGATCTCAAGTTTTAATTCTAATAAAGCGATTGAAAAAAATATATATGTGATGTTACTAATGGAAATTTGTCCTTTAATCGGGGCTCGTCTTCATTAGTTTCTATAGATGTTTTAAATGGGGATTTACCCAAAACTACCCATTCAACCTTGCTGTGCATCAGAGCAATTAATTTCTTCCTTGAATACGAAACCTTTGTTTAGCGTTTTAAAATTCACATTCTTAAATTATGCATTAGCTCTCCGGTGTCATTATTAGACAACATTTTGCATTTCTCGTCTCAAAATTTGGTATTCAAGCATTTCACATTAATTGTGCAATTTCTGTTAAGTTATTCTACAGATCTTGGAGATTCATTTTGTGCATAAGCACTACAGCAAAGTATAGTAGTTTTGGTAAAAGTAGCTGTTGGCATTATTGTGATTTTGTATTTGTTGTTTTTTTTGTTTTGTCAAACCATATGCAGAATCCAACCACTTCTCAGTAACATTGACCTTTTATACTACTATATAATAAATGTCACTCATGTCCAATATTGACTGCACAATGTAGGCTGGGGGGTGCTGGTCTAACCGGCTGCTTGCAATATCAATCATACCCCAGGTAAGTGCACACTGCCATCCTCACTGCAGACCTATTTGACACTGAGCATTTGAAAAATGGTCAACAAGCTAATGCTCACATACTTTGTCACATTAAAACTATTAAGGACCCCTGACTTAAAGGAAAATTTAGATCATTTATTAGCTGTAACAACCTACCTGACTCTTCTAGTCCAGATATACTGAGCCATTGGGTCTTCCAAATCATTACCATGCAAGGAGGAGGCATCCGTTAATGTTATACCCAAGGAAGCAGCCCTACAATTTATTTACTAAACTTCAAGCTTAGCAACTTGAAATACAAATTACAAAATAATTTTTTTTCTTCAAATTCGCTTTTGACTTAAATGTTGCCATTTGAATCTCACAGTTTAGTGAATAACCCTGTAGGATTTAATTCACTGAAGGGAGAATTGTAAGGAATCCAAAGGGAAATTCAAATTTAAGGCCAATAGCCAAATTGGAAAAATTCTCCAAATCAGCTGTGCTTCCAGTTTGGCTATTTTGACTTTAAATTTGAAACTCGGTCTTTGCTTCAGTTAAATGTAAGTTACTCCAGTTAACCTGTTCTCCCCCCACCCCCATTTCTCTCTTTTTAGAGTGTCTCTGGATTAAGACTCACAGATACCTTTCTGAAGAGAACGTATGAATATGATGACATTGCCCAAGTATGTGTTGTATCCTCAAAATTCCCAGCAGAAAGTTGATTTGGAAATTTGAAGATCCCCTGACAACTATGGACCAAATTGTTAAATATTTTCTCTACGCACAAACCAGAGGATGTGTAGGTCTGCAGATAATTTAAGCATGTTTTATGATTTAATATGTTAGTCTGTGTACATTATTTTAAGACTGTTTTTAATGCATCATATGTATTTTATCTATTTCAGAATAAAGTGTAAATATGAATTTATTTGCGTGCTTTACCTAACACTCACTGAAGCTTTCTCTGCATATTTCCTTCCTTTTTTTTTTTTTTTGATGAAACTCTGGGAAAGCAGAGGCTATTTAACGATTTTTACCTGAATTAAAAGTGCACTCAATTTTGGCGTTTAAATATTTTCAATAAATTATGCACAGCTGCTTGTGAATAATATGGTTTATTAAAATCAGGTAGCTCTTTCCTTCTCTCCAGAGGATTTTTTTTTTGTTTACACTGTATCATTTTGATTTTTACTTTTGTTTTTCTTGTTTGTTTAATTTTGGCAGCTTACAGCTCTTGGATTTCCTTTTTTATCAGTAATAAAAATATTTATATTTAGTGAAACTTTTTAGTGGATACTCTTTATTCGAAACCTGGGACAGTGCACCATTAAAAAAAACCAAAAAAAAAACCTATTACATAAGTGTTTTTACGAAATACTTTTTCATTGAAGGATGTGCACATATGTGGTTGCAGGAGTTCTAGTCCTACTAAAGGTTTGAGCATTAAACATTGGTCATCACTGGGTGATTAGCATTTGATTCTATTTCACGCTTGCCATTTCTAGAGTATGCAGATAGCATCCCGCAATATAATGCACATTTCACCAGATTGTCTAGTGCAGTGAGTACACGTCTGCTTTTATTGTATAGTAAACAATGTTTTACAGCAATAGTTTCTGAATGTTTGAACACATGAATTACATGGCAATAACAGGTCAGTCTGTTAACAGTAGCTTATGTAGGTGTAGCCATTTTTTTGCTTATCCAAGACAATTATTGCTAAATTATTTTAGTATAAATTGACAATTTCACATGCTGTCCACAATGACCAAATTTATATATATTTTAAGCACTTTCTGAAAACAAAACAGAACACAGATAAATATAAAATATTTAACAATTTGCCAAGATTTAATCCACACGCAATCATAAGGTAAAATCACCAAGTGACCAGCGTAGGTACCAATAATTTCCTACAAAAATGTGAGCACTCTAAAACAAGGTCGAAATCTTTTTTTAAATGTATTTTGTTTTGCTCCAAAACAAAGCATCTTGATAGGCGAATACAGACATTCTGTAAAACTTGCAGTTTCAATATATTGATTTATACATTTCAACACAAATGTTCAGTAATTGTATGTTTTGGAGAGATACGATACAATTCACAGCATGTTTGTGCTATGTTACTTATGCTAGTTTTTTTTTTTCTTTCTATAAATTGTTTTGCACATCTATACTACATTTATTTCTCCCTTCCAATCTTATTTCCAAAAATAGTTCTGTGCATTTAGTCATGGATCAAGCACACTGGAACATGTAGTTCAGTTTTCTTTCTGAAGTTAAACACACCTGGTAAATTAACTACAACTCACAAATCTTTGCTGAGACCATAAACCTAGAGTTAGCTCAGCAGTGCAATACAATATTATTGACTGAGCCACTTTCTGGTTTCAAGCGAGTGCATAGCAGAAGCTACACAGCCTGGGCAGTTGCAGTGGATGCATGAAATTTAAATGGTTCTTAATTTTTTTCCCCCATGATTGTATTTCGATTAAGGAAAAATACAGACTTTAAGCCATTAAAAGTACCCAATAAAACAGAGCACCAAATTAGGTGAACGGTATAACCAATAGCAGCAGTAATACAGGTGAGCATACGATCTGGGCATCCCAACAAATGAAAGCTACAACAAAAACCACCTACACTTGTGTAAGGAAACACTAACCGGTCACGTGAAAAATACTCCCTAAAAAATAAATCCATATCGGGGTTTATTTGTGAACACCACCCAAACCAGGGGTACAGAAAGATATACATATGGTAAGCACTTCTAAAATTATCTTGATTTAGAAAATAAATACAAAAAAGCAAACAATACAATACTGTGTTAAAAGGTCATCTACAAGCAAAGCAGTAAAACTCAATACATTGGACTTGTCACTCTTTCCAGGACTCTCTTGGAAAGAGAGTGTTTTGCATTGCTTTTACAGATTTTAAACTTTTATACATTCTATTCAGGGTATATGTGATTTTCTGCAAAGTCCCAAATGTTGTTAGAGCCTGTGCAGCTGTGTCTAAGGAGCAGGGTGGAGAATATCTGAATATTGCTGCTCTATTCAAAGTGCTCTCTGCATTAGGCAATTTAGCCACTTTTCTGAGATTTAAAAACGTATGGTTTAGTGACCAATCCCTTAAAGGAGCACTATAGGGTCAGGAACACAAATGTATTCCTGACCCTATTGGGTTAACACCACCATCTAGCCCACATGGGCCCCTCATGCCTTCATAAATATAGAAATCTTAGTTGTTTTCAAGTCTGGAGCTGCTTGCATTGTCACTGTTTCCTTTAGACCTGCCTGCTGACATCAGAAGTGGTAGCCTGATCCAATTACAATGCCTCCATATAGGATTGGCTGAGACTGACAAGGAGGCAGATCGGGGCAGAGCCAGCATGATTCAAACACAGCCCTGGTCAATCAGCATCTCCTCATGAGATGAATTGAATCAATGAATCTCTATGAGGAAAGTTCAGTGTCTGCATGCAGAGAGAGGAGACACAATGTTTGGATGCATTTTAGGCAGCCATGACCCAGGAAGCATCTCTAACAGCCATCTAAGCAGTGGCCAGTGGAGGTATCCCTAGGCTGTAATGTAAACACTGCATTCTCTCTGAAAAGACAGTGTTTACAGCAAAAAGCCTGAAGGGAATGATTCTACTCACCAGAACAAATTCAGTAAGCTGTAGTTCTGGTAACTACAGTGTCCCTTTAAATAGTCAATAAGTAAATATGCTAAACACAGCCAATTTAAGCTGGTGGAAAGGGATTGGAAACAGCCTCTTGTTCAATTAAAGGTTATTTATAATGCTGGAGGGTTCCTTTAAAGTCTTATTAGATTATTGGGCCTGCTCCAATGCCCTAAAAACAAACAGTTAAGTTTCCTTTATTCCAGAATCAAGAGGATCCCAAAAAGCAGTTCTGCTCTGAGTGCCGCAGTATCGTCAGCATTAATGATCCCCTGGCAGTCAGTCACTTTTGATAGATACGGTTTGAGATGCAATCCCTGCATTGTGCCTATCTATGAGAAGCACTGCTTTATACTGGGGCAAAAGGCAATCAGAAAAGGCACACTCCTGGCTGTCTGCTGATATCAAGAGAAATTGGTACTTTTGTAATGGTGCCAGGTTGTACCCTCCCATGTGTCACTTTCTGAAAGTGGGAAATAGAGGGCACTTTGTTAACTCTTAAAGAAATTCAGCAAGCAGATAAGTGCTTTAGCGGTGTGGAGAGTTCCTTTAAATCTATTCTTGCACCACAATAGAATAATAAGCACAAATCTCAAAGCCAGCAAATTCTGGATTCCAATGTCTGTTTAAAAGGAAATGATGGGAACAGTTGTAAAATCAGCTTGGCAAACATTTGCTTTTGTACAGGAAATAGAAATGTAATGCAAGACCGTGTACACAGAGAAGGTATCGAATTAGCAAATATTATTTATGACCTATGTGCTGTTAAATGCAGTCTAGTTAAAGTTGAAATATATAAATTACCACTCAATTATTTTGAATTAAGTTTTAGTGTTTGGGGTTTTTGTTTTTTTGTTTTCATATTTAGATTTCAAGTCCTTTTCACAACTGAATGTTCCAAGCCATTTATATGCAGAAAATCATGTATGTGATAAGTTGTTAAATTATTCTCAAAGGGGGATTTCCAAGAAACAATATTATTCAGCCTATAAAACAGATAAAGAAATAATTGACCAGTTTTAGACTAACTACCCAAAGGCCAGGGCTAAGAACATTGCAAATCTTCCAAGTCTCAGGGATAGTATTAACCCCCTAAGGATACATGACGTGTGACATGTCATGATTCCCTTTTATTCCAGAAGTTTGGCTCTTAAGGGGTTAAAGACTTCAAAAGGCTGAAATATGACAAATCCACCCACAACATTTGCAAATCTTTTTATAAAAAGATAGGGATTTTATTTTATATAAGTTTCCCAAACGAAATTCAGAGCCAAGTACTGTATATAGATACGTTTAACATTTAAATGTTGTATCTGAACTCCTCAAAATGTCACATAGGTCTACCTCATCTCAAATAATTGATAAACGAAAGGTAAGGATGTAAGATGTGTTCATTCCTGTCCTTTTACAGAGATGTCGTCCTGTATTACACTCCCGGTGCTCGGTTATCAGGATGTGGGTGATAATGAAGCATTTTCAAGGAATGCAGTCTGGAGGAATGGCAAGCGTGGCACCCTCTTCCAATTACGTGAGCAGCAATTAGTTAGTAATCAAAAGCGCTGACCTTTCATCTGGAATACAGCACAAAACAATATTTAAAAAAAGTTACATAACCTCTGTGCTTCACCTGAATGTTAGTTAATACATTTAAATACCGAACCTTGAAAGATCGAGCGGCTGTGGAATTTTTTTAGTCGTATTATTTAATAGAAATAATATTTCAACCTTGTATCTTCCCATCCAAGTTTATTCATCATCTACACCACCACCACCACCAATCCTCAGAGGCCGTACAGTCATTACCTTTTGTATACCACACAGCGTTGCTTTTTATTTTCAGTTGAGCAACCGCTCACAATTTCCCACAAAAAACAAAACCATATATTTACATACTGCTTCATTGACAATGTTTTCGATCTCCTTCCTGACCTCAAAAAAATAAATACTAACCAGTCTATATAACAGGTCCCACCGGTTATTTCAACATAGAGATCACATTTTACAATTCTATATTCCAAAACGTGACATCACATTCTGCAAGTTAAGCTTACAATATGAATAGTTAATAATAATTACCAATAGTTGATATCCAATTATAATATAAATCGAATAAAATGATAAAGTGCTGCCTCACTGGTTGCGGAGTAAGTCTGTACGAGTGGAAGAAAAAAGTGGGACAACAGTAATTTACGATTTTATTTTATTTTAGTTTTTTTTTTTCTCTGTCATATTCTGTTCTGAAGGGACAGTAAAATGAAATTTTGAAATATGTAGTATGTGATTTTATACTCCAGGTAAAGTGTTTAATATAATAAAACACAATGTCCTCAGGCTTACTTTGACATTTATGATCTTCAGGAGTCAGTAAAGAAAATATGAGAAAATTGTAATGTAATATGCGGATTTAAGTTTTAGTTTTGGAAGTGCAAATATAAATTTATACTACTGTATAATATTTTGTTTATTTGTTTTGTTATTTAATTATCATTCTTTTTTCATAGAAGACTAGTTCTTCCAGATCTCTTATAAAAATGTTCCCCTACTATGTTTTTCTAAACAGGACAGGACTGAAACAAAAGCTGGTCTGGGCACATTATGCCTGATTAATCCACCCTCACAATGCCTTACCTTTGTTGGCCGCAGCCTTCTCCCCTCTGTTGTTGGCTGCATTGTAAGTGAGCTATAGAAGCTTCGTGCACAGGCCCCTTGTTAACTCAATTACATTAAAAACAAAATTTCTAAAAAAAACAAAAGAAACAAAAAACACACAAAAAACTAAAGACCTCTATCACTCCCTCACTTTGTGGCTCCCTCACTCCATTGTCATTGCATTTCACGCTGCACTGACCGGCCCCTGGAAATACATTGCAACGGGTGGCCCTAACAGCATGGGCCACCTGATGGGCCCCTGAAGGCGCAGCCCCGGCCGTTGTACCTCGTGGGCCGGGGCGCACCACATTGCCGGCAGGCACCCCGGTCACAGGGGTCCACTGGGCAGCCGGACCCTCTGGAGTAACAGGCCCATTCGCAGCTGCAACCACGGTAGGTCCGCCACTGTGTGAAGCTCAAAATAGAAAAATAAAGGTGAACTTTTGAACTGAAAGACCATGAGTGCTACCATCCTTTACTTTATGGGATGGACGGAATGGATATAGATATATAAAAACTCATCCTACCTTTAGTATTTGACCGGTTCCTTCAGCTATATACATGCACCATGCTCCATATGTTGTACAACCAACTCCCATGATGCTTTGCATGCCTTTAGAAAAAACATTTGGGGATCTACCTTTTTGGGCACTCCTGCTCTACGGTCTGCTCTGCTTCACTCCCTGCACAGTGCAGTGACATTAGACCAAGAAATCGCTGACTTCAAACACTGTCTGACCCAAGGTCTATGCATATGGCTGAAGGATCCTGTCAGATGTTAAACGTAGACATGAGTTTTCTCTTTAATTTCATTTACTTAATTGAACACACAATCCGTTTCAAAACTTGAAAGTTTTAATTAGTTTTAAAATGTTGACGTGACAGTTGTCCTTTAAAGCACAGCACTCTTTATATACAGTGTTTTATTAAATGTATGTTGGCAATATCACTGGTAATGTCAGATAGTAAGCCTAAAAATGTAAACATCCAGCGTTATTCTCTACTCTAATGTACCAGGGAAATTAAAATGCTAAGCCAAATTAGCCAAGATTAAACCACAAATTTGGGAATTTTTCCAATTTGATTATTCTGGTATAAAGTGTGATATCCCACAATCCACAGTTTTTTGAAAAAAAAACCCTATACAATGGAAATAGGACAGTTGGCCAATATTATAAAATTGTGATTTCTTATTTCCATTTTTGAGAGTGCCTGCCATTTTCAGACACGCAGTGTGATCGCAAGATTATCTATATATCCCCATGCATGCATTTTACCATCTGCACAGAGCTAAGATAGGCTTGCAGTAGTGAACTGTGCTTGTCGCTGTACCTAACTAAAGTGAACATTTATTGATTGATTGACTGATTATGGACCATGGGAAAAGGAGCAGAAACCCAAGAGTCCATAATAGACAGGAAGAAGCAGCTCCCTGATTAAAGGATCACTCTAGGCACCCAGACCACTTCAGGTTAATGAAGTGGTCTGGGTGCCAGGTCCACCTAGGATTAACCCTTTCTGCTGTAAACATAGCAGTTTCAGAGAGGGTTAATCCAGCCTCTAGTGGCTGTCTCATTGACAGCCGCTAGAGGCACTTCCGCGCTTCTCACTGTGATTTTCACAGTGAGAAGACGGCAGCGTCTATAGGAAAGTATTGAGAATGCTTTCCTATGAAACTGGCTGAATGCGCGCCTGGCTCTTAACACGCATGCGCATTCAGACGATGACTGGGAAAGGAGGAGGAGAGTCCCCCGCGCCAAGTGAGCCCGGCGCTGGAGAAAGGTAAGATTTAACCCCTTCTTCTCCATCCAGCCCAGACTATTCTTACACAGACACCTAACACACTATACACAGACACCAAATACATTACACAAAGTATACCAGTTTTGCACAGGCGACCTTAACAAACACACTAAATAGTGTCATAATCATCATACACATTTCATGTAAAAGGTTCACATGTTGAGTTTTATACGTCTCCCCTATAGGCAAGACAGGAGGCTTCATATTTGCTTTACTTTCTTTACTGAATCCTCCCAGCAGCAAAGAAACAGTTAAACAATTGAAAACAAAATCAACCAATCAGAACACATCTAGTCAGTAATAAGTGGCTGTGAGACTCCTCCCAATTCCTCTTTCTTTGCTGCTTGCCTCCCAGGTGAGTCAATTCTGATCACATTGGCCTTAGTGCTGTATATTTACCTCAGTTTTTTACCATACCATTGTTTTAATTTTATTTTTTGTATTAATTATGGTTATTACATCTTTATTTATACTTCATTATATAGATTCTCCCCTCAAGGCCGACCTCTTGTCTGCCCACAGGGTTATTTCTTTCACTCCCACTGGCTCTTAAGTCATTTTATCCTGTTACCCTCAGCTCTAATTATTTCCCTCCCTTTCAGTTTAGGGTTTTTTGCTGATCTAATGATCTAATCGAATCGCGGCCTTTTTTTCGTATCTTCCCGACGCTCTACTATTTGGGCCTCACTGCTGCTAGTATTGCGCGGCCTATCTGGCCATTTTCCCCGCCTTTTTCCTGTGATGCGGGTGGGCACCGCCTCCTTCAGAGCTGGCAGCCATTTTGTTTTTTTCGGCAGTTTATTTTCATCAAGTCACCAAGTTCCAAGGTAAGTTTTTCTTGTGAAAATATATTTCTTTGTAACCCCCATATGCTTTACTTGGGTGACCCCCAAGATTTCCATAATCATATTTTAAAAACAAAAAAACATTCTAAATAGTTTCTACCTATTTAAAGTTGCATTATTATTGTTTTGTCTTTATATAAATAAATCCAAAAATTAACCCCTTAAGGACGGAGCCAAATGTACACGTTGTGAACGAAACAAAATGTAAACAAAACCTGGCATTTGCTCTACATGTCTGTCCAATTGTAATTCACCTATTTCATAGTAAATGCACCCACCCTTATTATATATCATTTTATTCAGGGGAAACAGGGCTTTCATTTAATATCAAATATTTAGCTATGAAACATAATTTAATATGAAAAAAATGGGAGAAAATACGATTTTTTTTAGTTCTACATGACATTTTAACAGTCAATGTCATAATACTGTTTGCTTTTACTGCAATAAAATACACATATTTGTATTCAGCAAAGTCTCACGTGTAAAACAGTACCCCCTATGTACAGGTTTTCTGGCGTTTTGGGAAGTTACAGGGTCAAATATAGCACGTTACACCCATAATGGCATACCATTTGCAATAGTAGACAACTCAAGGTATTGCAAATGGGGTATATCCAGTATTTTTTAGTAGCCATTTGGTCACAAACACTGGCCAAAGTTAGCGTTAGTATTTGTTTGTGTGTGAAAAATGCAAAAAACGCCAATTTTGGCCAGTGTTTGTGACTAAGTGGCTACTAAAAAAGACTGGACATACCCCGTTTGCAATACTTTGGCTTGTCTACTATTGCAAATGGTATGCCATCTTGGGGGTAATTTTCATTCTTGGGCAACCAAAGGGTCTCAAAGGCAACGTACCCAATCTGGCAAATTTTAATGTGAAAAAAAATGAAACACAAGCCTTATATTTGACGCTGTAACTTTTGAAAACACCATAAAACCTGTACATGAGGGGTACTGTTGTACTCGGGAGACTTCGCTGAACACAAATATTTGTGTTTGAAAACAGTAAAAAGTATCGCAGCAATAATATCGTCCGTGTAAGTGCTGTTTGTGCATGAAAAATGCAAAAAACTGCACTTTTACTGGCGATATCATCGTTGTAATACATTTTACTGTTTTGAAACACTAATATTTGTGTTCAGCGAAGTCCCCCGAGTAGAACAGTACCCCCCATGTACAGGTTTTATGGAGTCTTGGAAAGTTATAGGGTTAAATATAGTTCTAGCAAATTAAATTCCCTTTACTTTCGGCATGGGTTGTCAAGCCGGTCCCGCTAATTGTTATTAATTAAGATACCCAATTATGTAAAACTATTACATAAATATATATGTAGAATATATGTATATATATATATACACGTATGTGAATATATATGTATATATAATTTTTTAAAAATATTTTTATTTATATATAGGTATATATATAGTGATATATACGTATATATTTATGTATATA